TATAGAAGTACTGTAAAGCTTCCTCTTTTTCTTTGCTATATATTGAAGATAAATTGAGGTAAATCTTCGATCAAGCAAACGATTACACAATTTTCAAATTACGGCTAATTTATTTGACGACACTGCGTCGTATAGTTTCTCGTACAGCAATTGAACAATTTAAGCATCTCCGGCGAATTATGAATTATTAATATAGATTTTCTTTAACCTACTTTATCGACCTTAATCCTTTATAATATGTCTACGATATCATATATAGGACACGCATTATAATATAGTACACTGTTAAGATGCTAGTTAGTCAGTGCCGTACGGTGTACAACGCAGATGATCGAGGGTAAAAATTTTTAATTTCTCCTCTCCAACCAAGGTCTTACTTCAAAGAGCGGATTCAAAGTTCAAAACCAGGGTTTGCGTTTATCATAATACAAGCTAACGACAAACTGTCATAATAAAATACATCATCTTTATATCTTTCAATCTCAATAGGCTGAATGTTGCGATATGTCTAAATCAATTGATTTCATGCTACAGAAATCTGCCGAATGAAAGTTATTAATTGACAGTAAGGCTAAAACAAGATAAAATCCGCTTATTGATATGGAGATAACTTTGATAACAAACACCTCTATTGCAATATCTTTTTATTTCAATTGAAATGACTATGAGTAAGAAGCAATAATAAAAGTAATAATTTTAATAGTAAATATTGTACTGCAATTACGGTTGAATAGACAAGAGTAGATCATTATGGCTCTCCATGGCATACTTGCAGGTTATGATGGAATCAGACTAAAATTTTTTTATTATTATTAGATGACAACCATTGAGGGTAATTTAATTTTCTTCTTTCGTGTTTTGTTAATAACCGTGGCTATCATTTATACATAATTCAATTTCATTTAAGGCATTTAAACTATCAAGATACAGCAATATAGTATTGGTGATAAAATTATTCATGTTTTTATTTCAAATCTTCGATATCATTAAAATAACTATTTCGGCTAAAATATGAAACAAATGCATTCACTTGTCTATCTTCCCAGATATTAAAAAAACAATTTCGTGAGCTTAGGTTATTCTCAGAATACTTAGACAGGACTGTTATCGATAATATTTCAATTAACGTTAATAACGGAAATTTATCAGGTGTTTCATTACTTCTCTGAAACAGAAAATTATTATAGCTATTGTTGTATTGGATTAATTATTCTTTTTCATTTCCGTCGGTGTCTTGTTGATCTCTATGATATTGCAAATGATACCCTTCATTTGCATCAACAATTAACCTTTGATCTTTTCTTAATTCGCTCGACTAACTTTAAAGCTAAATTCCTGTAAATTTTACCTGATCACTAAGCAAATGAGAAGTATATATATATATATATATACTTTGAAGGAAATATCTTGTATTATGTGTGATAGGTAAAAGTAAACAAGTAGTGACTATTGGTTTTATTTTTCATTTTTGGTCAAAAATGAACGTGCAATTAGTATAATAAATTATTCTCATTTAAAATGATATGAAAACTATTTGCTACTGACTAATATAGAAGAGCCCAAAGTATTTCATATATGGATAGCTGTTATAAATTTTAAGGTATCTAATATCCATTAATTAATCTTTAATAGTCCAAATTAGATCTGATATGAAGTGCCTTTCATCTTTGCGTATCTTATATTCACAAAAAGAATAACATTAATATAAACGCTAAAAGTCGGTCAATTATCTGCGTCAAAGACATTATGCAATTCATTTATTCCCAATCTGTCTGTTTCGAAGTACCATAACTATGCTAGCGCAACTAACATAGTAGATAATAGGTTATAGTAATATTACGTGGGGACTTCATAATCTAGCATGTTTACTAATGAAAATTGACAATATTATGCTACAATATTGAATTATAATTAAATTACTTACCTAAATGATCATGACAGTTAACTAATCTCTGCAATCCCTATATTAAAATAAATACGTGGCATTAAGGTCATACCTATTAAATCTTTTTCCTTTAACTTACAAAATTCTGTAAAAGCTCAAATTTTCACAGTACTATTGCCCAATTAATTAAATAGTTCAAAGAGCACAATAATGAAATTGAAAAAGTTAACAGTATTAATAGTTGATAGTTAAATAAAAGATCCATTGATTTTTGTAATAAGGGTGCTTGTAGCATTTAAACATTCTAATATTAATCATTGTTAATTAATATTTAAATACAATGTAAATTCTGTCATAAATTTATTCGGTATAAAAAATTTCAAACGACAGTTTATGTAGTTTCATTTAATGAGTTATTAATTAAATAAATTTCCTTTTAAAAATCGTAGAAAAGACATAGTTATTGTCTAACGGTATATTTGACATTAGTAATTATTGGTGCGTTTCAATTAAATGAACAGATGCCAATTATGATCATGATGGTTTCTGTCTTTACATTTATAAGAAGCATACATCTATCAACTCATAGATAATATAAATCGATTACACTAATCATCTATTATTTTATTTCCTAGAAATATTAGTAATACAATTATTTTGTTATCATCAATCAAAGCAAAATATTCCTTTTGATATTTCTCAGTAATGATGATTGAGATGACATATGTTGTCTGTAAAATTGACAATTTATTTCTGTTTATCACTGCAATCATTTTCGTCCTAATTTATATTCCATTATATTTATCCTATATCCTAATGCTTTTTCATTTCAACATTATGGCCTGATATTGATAAATAAATTACACTGTTATCGATATGCATACCGTTAAAAATCCTGATAGTGATAATGTTTTCATAATGCAGTTAAGATTATGATTATATCTTTAATATAATTTACTCATTATGATCTAGCACTAATTTTTTCCCCTATTTACTCTAAAATTAAATGTGATGGGTTCAAATTTTGATTATATATCACCTACCAGTGTTATATAAATTATGTTCGTTGTAGTATGTAGTAATAAACAAGAATCATACTTTAATGAGTATTTGCCCGATAAAAAACTAACTTTAGAAACCTTTGCTCTTTAATCGACAAATTATTAGCTACAGTTGCCTTTATTTTAATCTCCTTTAATTTACGATTGCTATTGCTATTCAATGTAATATATCATACCACTGAAAAATATTATTTATTTTGGGATGACTAGATTTCATTTCTTTAACAATAATTTTTAATCTCAGATTCATATTGACGTCATTGTTGAATTTTACTGTTTTTATCTAGTTTAATGTGCTATTTCAATTCGAAAAATATCTATATATTTTCCATCATTGGACATATGGCCCTAAACAATTCCAATAAATGCATTGTACGTGCTTTGAGGTCACTTAAAATTGTCTTCATACTTCTTTTAATAACTTTTAATGATTAATTAAGACTTTTAAGATAACATTGTTTATATTCCAAGTGATATCTTTCGCTTAACTGTAGGTATAGCCAGTAAAATAAGTAATATCGAGATATGCAAGTTCATTAAATATATACGAATTGGATATGTATCGAAACATAAGCAATATATCTATCATATTCTTACCTTTTCTAGACGATAACTAAGCTGCATATCGATAGATTGAAATTATTTATCGATTTCTCCTAATAATAGATAGATTATCAATAGAAATTAAGACTGACTTCGTGACATTAATATGCGTATTATGTACGTAAATTTCCTTTCCTTTCGTTACTCCTGTAAAGTAGAGTAGAGTTTTTCAGATGCTTATGATAAAACGACAATATCAACAGACAAGGTACAAAAATAAGGAATGTAAAACAGAATACGATACTTGCTGTACTGTTGTATACGAGCACTAACGTCTAAAGTTATCTATAGTCAATCAATAATATTTGACCAAGGTATTCTAAGCTACGGGACTGTAACTCGATTTATTCGAATAAATACGCGTAAATAGCTATATTGTTTCAATCTCTAAAAAATAATTAATTTTGTGAAGCAGCAGTTGTATGCAACTATTTTAAAGTACGACATTGTGTCACTGGAGCTTATAGTTTACCAAGACAGTTTAAGTTTACTGGATCATCCATGGTATTACAGCATCCTAGCTACACACATAAATTCTATTGACTTTGATATACTATATTCAAGCTTCTTTTGATTTAATTAATATTTATCTCTTTTCATCTAAAATCTGCCAATATTTAAGAAGAAATTTAAAATCGAGGTTTACGATAGCTATGTAAATATCTTTATATCGTATATATTTATTATCATCATGAATATGCACTTAAATATCTATTTGATGCTTTCGATAAGAAATCACAATTTTATATTAAATCTCTATACCTGTAAAGAATAGTAGCAGCATTGTTAAGACAGCAGATAACAAAAATGGAGTTACTTACACTGATGAAGTAAATTTCTACAATTAAAGTCGCAATAACAAAGTACTTCAGAAGTAAAATAAGTGTCAATTTCAGTTTATTGATCCTGAACGAGTTTCTAAGTTTAAGAAATTGACGTTTGTAGCACTTTCATTGCATAAAATATAATTTGTACACCATTCTATCTGATATTGAGAACAACATTTGGTTCATAGCTGGTATAACTGTCCAGCAACTCGACAAAAGCAGTCAAAAAGTCAATTTTAATAACTAGAGTGATTGTATTTCTTACAAATATAGCGACTATAAAAGAATCTGTCCAGAATCGAGTATTTATTGCCGATAATAGGCTTCTATATAAATAGGTGCTTCAATTTCAATATCAGATAAGTTAAAAATTCTGTGATGTAGGTTGACTAGATGAAAATTTCACATAAAAGAATAGATCAAAGTTAATGCTAGTTATTGAAAATAAAAACTAATATGTAAAATTATTCATGGCATAAATTTCACGTAAGAGAAATTATTACGGTAAAATACTGAGGTAATGCAGTGAAAATTACTCATAAGACGCGTATTTATTAAAGAAAATCGAAATCGTCGGTATTTTGTTACATTTACATGCACATTTATATTTAAAAAATGCCAATATTACGGAATATAGAAGCGCAGTTGTCCATCCAGCGATGCAGTCACAAGCTAGTAAATGTAATGTTATACGAGATTAACGATCACTTCAGGTGAAATCTTAAGAGATCTGACTTATAGTGAGATTATCAACGAATTAGAGTTGACAATAAAGCTATTGCATAAACTATTTTTGGTTACTTAAATTTACCTGAGGTTGCCTAGGATTAAATGCTACATCAAATACCACATCGCGATGACCTGTTAAGCGGTCGGAATAAGTATTCGATCTTACGTCATATAAGTAGGCCTTGACATAAATAAAGAGTTTAAATGATATCAATAGATATGTATAGTATTGTAGAATGATTTATGATATAGTTAGATATACTACTCGTTGAGATTGCCGTAAGTAAAGCTAAAAATTATTGATATTATGACCGTTCAAATATGAGCATAACATACCGTCTTATCTTCTGAACCCGTGGCAATATACCTCATGCAAGGACTCATACAAACTCCTACTGGATGTGACCGATTAACATGACCATCGTAACGTCTGACACATCTACCGTATAAATTAACAGTGTCGATTAGGCAAAGTAAGATTTTTAGTTTGAATGTTAATACGAGTATGAATTCTATGCTTAAGTATAAACCTCCTAAAATACGACAATTGTTACTATCTCTGCTTAATAACGTAAAGTATTAGAAATTAACTCACTTAGAAGTTCTTAGGTCCCATAGCTTAATTCCATCTGTTACAGCTGATGTTAATACAAGATTATAAGCGCGACTAGGGTGGGCTACATAGGTAGATCCCTATAGTAATATAGTCCGTTGTACCAAAAAGAGAAAACTAACTTTATAATTGATACAACGTATGCAAATCTAACATCGCGGCATTGTACGACATTTTATCCATTATCAACCTTATTAATGGAAATTGTATGCATAGATCTTGCGTGGGCTTCAGGAATAACTTGAATACATTTAGAGACATTCATATCAAAAATTTCTAGACCTTTGCTTGAAGAACCACAAACGACAATATCTGTAAATAATAAAAATGCATCTTACCAATAGAAAAGGAAGCAAATTACTGAATATCTTTCTAATTTGCAGTTGTAATGCTACAGTTATATTTAATACTGTGATGAAGGTTAATTTTTTTAGAATTCTCCTTCAAGTTCTTGTATTTTAAATAGGTATTGCAGCATTAAAAGTAACTTAATTTGGTTTCATTACAGCAGATTTTATTCAGTATTTAGTATCTAGTAAACCGGACTACTTCATTCGGGTTAGAATTTAACAACATTCGGCAATATAATTTTGTTAAGAATTATGCAGTGTAAGACTGCAAGTTAAGCAATATATTTAGTTAGTATAGAATGCATGTTGCTATTCTGGTAAAACTATTGGCTAAATTTGATTGCAAAATACAGTAGAAGTTATGTTACATTATGATAGAAAACAGTGTGAAGTCGAACGTTTTAATCTGGGTGTTAATTTAAGATTGTTGGTCTGTCTTAGTAGACTTTTATAGTTATGTTCTGTATACCGTAAAAAGAAACAGTTTATAGTTGAATTACGATTATTAATTTAGTAATATTCGGGAATCTAGGGTAAAAATTGATCCTGTCATGTGTTTAATTGCCAGTTTTATTTAGAATACGTTAGAGTCTTATGTTAGTAGTCTGTTGCGATGAACTACTCTGCGTAGCATATATAAGTTGGTGATGTAATTCAGTAGTTTAATGAGATCAAGATAGTGAAGTGACAGATAAAGATTAGGATTTTCCTCAAATCGTAAGCAAATTTATTAAGTTGATAGTAAGGTTGATCAAGGGAGTAATTCTACCCTTTGTTAATCCTTTAAGTAATTTGATAAATCTGCTGTTACGAATTATAATAAATTGGAGTTTCCTCTAGATCTATTTCATGTTGAACTAAAAGAGTTGATAGTTTTTAATAATATTTTTCGTTCATTATTACTATACACTTATCGTACTTTATACTTTATAGCTGAACGTATGATATATAATTTGTAGCAAGTTTAGTATCTATAGTGAATTCAAATACTAAAAAATAAATATTATGCATGCGTGTATATATACAGTGATATCAATTTCTTACTAGGATATATTTAAACTTACAGGAATAAAATTCGTTCGCACAATCGAAAGTTGTAATAGATTGGGAAGAATCAATTTGTAGTTTGGTAACCAATTTGTAACGATTATTATTTTGATATCTTTGGTAAAATTACAAAAAAGATAGGTTATACAGATTATCTAAATGTTGCAGTAGCAAATGCTTCAAACAACGTGACATATTGCTTCAAGTTTGTTTGTATCCACACTATCCTTATACTGAATAACTGGCTAACCTTTTAACGTCGTCCAGTTTATCTATATCCAAGTGGTATTTATATAAATACAATGAGTTACCAGACGCCAACATAAAAAATTTATCCATATAGTAAAATGCCGCATGGGCGATATCCTTGGTGAATGGCTAATAAATCAAAAACATGTTAAGTTAAATATCGAACTATTCTTTCATTCTTCAATCGCATTTCGCATTGCTTAGAACGTAGAGTATTTCATATTGTGGCCCTGCAGTATGAACAGTATTGTAGCGGTTGAAACATCTAGGTATCCAGTGGATCGCGTCGGCTAACATAACAATCATGGTATATCGTTCTGTATGTATCCCAATTTCATTCATATACACTTATGATATAGATACAATATGATATGAATTTACCTTATTTTCGTGATTGCTAGCTTCCGCTTTAAAATTATGTGAGTCTTTGGAAATAATTAATACAGGCTCTTTTAACTCGTTATACCAAATTCTGGCTGTTTTATCCATAGAAGTCGAGAGCAAAAACTGCCCTGTTCGATTCCAATTTACGGAAGCAATAGGACGATCATGGCCTATGCATTGTAATATTAAAATGTCATGTAAGGAATTAGCCATATTCACTATATAATAAAAAGAATCCGCATCTGCGATGACAGAAATAACTATCTACCTGTAAAGGTAATATTTGACTTGTCTGGATGGTTACTTTTTAAAAGCTGTATAGATTTATCAGCTGATACACAAGCTAACTGTGAGCCATCACCTTTCCAAAAGGAATGATTACAATTGAAAGAAGGATATACAAAACTGTAGTGGAAGTGACATAACATCCTCATTGAAGCATTTTTACCAGCTATCGTAAAGTTGATTATCTAAAAACATCAGCAGTTACTGAATCTCTATATAGCTGCAGCTATTAATTGAATAATGTACTGCTTAAAATAACGCTATATTAAATTATAATATCAATTACTACTCCTATGAACATAATCGCATCCTCTATGCTTTAATTAATACTATCTTAAATGAATCCTCGATTAGCTACTTAGTATTTCAATATTTAATTGTACTTCCGTCTAATTCTACAAAAGCATGAACTAAACAAAGCGCTCTAGAAATTACTTCATAACAACTTTAAAGCGTATTACTTGCTAACCGGAAAATTTTAAACTGTTGATACCAGTTCCAGGTTGAGATAAATATAGTTTATGCTTTAAGGACGTAGTTGCCGGACAGTCGATCGGATAATCCTCCCTATATGATCCAAAAGCTGATTAAATTTACATCTAATACGTGCTAATGAATTTTATCAGGTAATAATTTTCTGTCACTACCTAACTATGGGACCATTTGCTTCCACCTTGTTCCTAGCTACTATAGTTTTCTTATGCATATCTGTCCGTGGCTGAAACATTTTATTGCTATAATAAAATCAATGGACAATTGAATAGCGCCATTTTACTGTTGTAGTAAAATATCATGTACATTAATACAGTCTTATTACTAATATACAAGACCACAGCACTATCGATGATATTAATTGCGCGGTAATGGTCAACCTACACTGAAGATGTCGCATATCCCGAGGATTTAATCTTAGCTTTAAAGGTGAGCGGCTTATCAACTAATCCTTTCCGTGTATTGCGACCTAATGTATAAGATAATACACACATGTAACCGTTAACATACTGTATCCAATCGTAACATGGTTCTAGCAGTTTTCAAAGTAGTGTACAGTTTTATTTCACTTACTGGGGGTAGGATTCGGTTTCTTCTTATTCGGTGGTTTTGGCTTTAATGTAAGTTCAGCTTTAAGTGGAGAATTTTTATCTAAAGGAGAACTTTTTATTTATCGTGTGATATTAGTTTTACCTTCATAATTCCTTTTTAGGAATTTTTATGTTACATGAGTTTAACAGATGAGATAACATTTACTTTGATATTATGCTGACTGTTCCGTCACTATCAGGAGATTCGCTTCTTTCCAGTTGTATTACGTGAACAACATTTTGAAGCAAACCACATAACAGACATCGGATCTACGATAAATTAAGGTAAGACTTTGTCTGATAATTCTACAATATTCTTAGCTATAATCTGTCGTAGCATTACCTGATTATCGTTTGGTATTGCTGAAAAAGTACAAGATCCAATAAGGCGTAAATCAGGAGGTATCTTTTCTCTTGATTCTTCAACTTGAGGGTCTAGGTATCATAAACAGTTTTCGATTTGTATCATCGTTTCAGGATTTTCATAAAATCAAGACACAGCAACTGATCCAAAGCAACATTAGAGTTATAACAGTACCAGCTAAATCAAAAACATTTCTAATGCATAGGGTACAGCCATCAATTACTACAATGGCTCCAGTAGTTGCTGCATATATAACTTCGGAATCTCTTATAACATGCCTAGTTGCAATATTATTATTAAACGAATGAGTTACAAAGAAATACGACATGTAAACTATTTAATTAATCGCGTACTCCATTTTTTTATTTAATATCGTTCGAAAATTTTAACTTAACATAAAAGGTCGAGCGTTATTATCTTCAAACTTACTCGATCACGGATGTATAAGATATTACAGACTTTGCGGCATTATCGTGTCTTTCACGTAATAGAGTTACCACGTTCTGCGAATTAATTACAGCTAACGCAATAACTCCCACTCCAGGGTCACCATATTCAGGCGAAGTATCAGCATTTTCTAAATTTTCAACGTCAGTTAGCTCTTTCCTTTTACGAAGTCGTTGCTCGAGATCTAGTACTTGTAAACAACGGCAGCTCCGATACGTAGAAGCAACATCATAAGCTCTTATCTAATACATCAATATGTGGTGAACATAAAATCATTAGCGCGATTGATAAATACCTCGTATTGAGGGTTGGCGATTCTATAAGCGCATATTAACTGATCCTACCTTTCCATCAGCATCACCAATAATAATTTGGTCTTTTAGCGGGTTTAAAGCCAGGGAAAGTAAAGGACATGCTATAATAATGTTCATTTTTCATGAACAAATTTATCAAGTGTATTAGCTCCATCAGTTGGTATTATTTGATGCATAATTTATATAAATAAGGAAATTGCAATGTTAGGGCTTCACAGCAATAATTTTACTAACATAATACATTTCATAATACGGTAGATATTCTTATAATGAAATACTCTTTATGAATAAACCTTTTATGAAATAACATACTTGATAATACACCCGAGTCATACAGCAAGGTTCTTTCATAAATATCCCATACCTAACATAAAAATGAGGATAAATAAAAGGTAATCACTTGTATGAGCTTGAATATATTTTAAAGATATCAGCAATGAACAGCGTTTATTGAAGTCTAATGATGTAATTCATGTATACTAATTATGGTGTATCTAATTGCGATCTCTCTCTCTCTCTATAACTAATTAAGACATTAACACTATCACCATATTAAGATAAAACACTGTAGACTATCACGTTACTATACTGTAGAGTAATATATGCTTGCTCATAACGTGCGTACTCAATGCTCAGCTTGAGAGTTGGATAGTACTCAGAAGCCAATTAAGTGCTTTACTGTTAGGTAAAGTAAATTTATTACCAAGTTGCGAGTTGGATCATCTTTCTTGCATGCACTGATAGACAATGATAGCGAAGAAAAATACCATACGTACTTTAAATGTTCTATCTTCCGATGATGACACCAATAAAAATTCACTGCAATAAGAGAAATCTGTAGCTGTAATCCTACCAGTGTGTCCTACTAGGATATCAATAGCATGATCTTCCTGTACCATGTGATATAAGTCAAAAATTGATACCTCTTTTGAATTGCGTTAAACAGGTAAGGATAGGATACATTGGTAACTACGTGTAATTTGTCAAATTACTTGTATTTAGGATTTTAAGGTAAAAGGAACACTCTTGTTAGCATACCTTTAAATTAATAAGGATAATATCATTAGAAATTCCTACGGCGACAATATCATTCTTTGAACTAATACACAGACATGACGGTTCATTAAAATCTGAATAAATAATGGTGCCTTGGCTTGTTGATTCTAAGTTATCAGCGTGAATAAAATAAATTAAAATTTAATATACACGTTATCATTTACAAAAGGTATACAATAGCAGATAAAACTAGAAATGATTTAATTGCAGTGTATATCAACATCTACATAGAAACTTAAAGAGAAAAAATAGCAATAGCAACTATAGTGAACATATTTAATTTTATATAACAAGGATATTAAAATGAATTATTTCATTCAGCAAATGTAATCATTTTTGATGCTACTACCCTATTTCATTATTCCTACTGCATCGTAGAATAAAATTACGGTAAGTAAGTAAATCATTGACGATAAAGTGACTAATTCACTATTTATTTACCAACATCCGCATCTGCAATAACTTGATTCATATCCCAAAGAATAATGTATCTGCTACATGCCGAACAAAGTAGCACTTCCACTGGATCGCGATTGAAGGCCAGTAATAAAATCGAGGAACTATGACCAGTTAACTCCTGTGGCTAAAATATATTTTGTGGGAATATGGGTATGAGAAGCGTCTAAGTGATGATATTGTTGTTTAAAATGACCGAGTTCATTAGGTAATTTACTGATAACTCCTAGCGAGTATAAAGATAATGCAGTGCAAAAGAGAAATAATCACGGATGAAACTGCAAATTGGGTTAAGTTAGGAATATAATAATACAGTACTGATACTATTTTGGAAGACACTGTTTGCCAATATGCACGATCACAATATTGATGATCCGTAAAGCATTAGCTAGGGTAAGTTATACGCGTATATGTACTAACGACAACATGAATGAGCGATCACATCTACATTGATTGATGATGCATCGACTAAGAAATAGTCGCAATGATGTTTTAATGTTGATTGCAGCGTTTTAGACCTTCATAGCTGATAGCTGCTGTTACGGAGTCATCTCACCGTAGATAAATTAGTGATGTGTTAATATTGCCGGTATTAATTCGATCTATAAATATCAATCCTCTGCCTGATTTATAGGCCTACTGAGATATCTGGATGAGCATCAATCGACGACTCTTGTATATCATGAATATATGCATATATACATAGATGTCTAAAATTGACTGTATCAATATTAATATACACGACTCTCCTAGATTACATGTCTAAATTAGCAATCTACTGTACTGTATTTTACACAAGTAATGTAGAGGAGTCGCATCTTGATGTTGATCTGCCTAGTCTCATGGCGGTACAGTGTCCATGAACATGATGCAGTAATAAGTTTGAACAGCAAGTACTACGACTACAGCGGCGAAATCATTTTTGAATCTACCGCCAATGCAATGACAAGATACAAGTCTGTTTATCTAGGCAAATGATACAAGCATCCAGTACTTCAACATCGATCATAATGATAGACTGTATGGACAACGATTGAAAAAAAGCTTCTTTGCAGCCTGACATGATGGAGTCATAGTGTATCAATAAATAAACAGTCTATTCCAGGTAGAAATGGTCTAAAGGGTAAATGGTTATGCAGACAAAGTCAGTCAGTCACTCACAACGGTATTACTTAAATCTTGGCTATCAACATTATCCAATTTCCAAATTCCAATCGTTTTTCGTGTCCAAGGTAAAGCAATAAAGCGTTGACTACAAGCTAAAGGAACATGGCGGCCAAGTTGACTGGCTGCCACTAAAGACGTTGTATATGAATGGAACGCCATGATTTGAGAAGGCTGCAACCGTTATCGCTATGGTTTCCAACAGAATCGTGTTACATCAGTGAGTGAGTGACAGGCGTCCGTCCAGTCAGTCCTTGAACTGGTTGGTAGTACTGTCGTGTAGTATAGTACAGTATGGCACGGCACGCTGGTCATATACTGTACACTGTGTACAGTATGGAAACCATGGACTGAAGTGATGTTGACTGACACTACCAGAGTGGATGTCGATGGGTGACGTTGGTGAGTGTTGCAGTTCTTCAACGAACGTGTCGAAATCATTGGGCTACCGTACTGTACTATTCTACGCCGGACCGTACCGTTCCGCACCATTCGAGACCGTTCTATGCCGGTCTATACCGCTCTATACCGTTCCATACCGGTCTGTCCCAAATACCACCAATGTTATGATGCTTTCGCTGCCAATCACAGCAGAAATACTCCTCAAACCATATCGAGCCCATCGATGAGTTGAAGACTGCCAGCTTGGCTATCGTAGTTCATGCATACGTTGAGGGGGAAAATGGCGACAAAATCCAAAGACCGTCCGACTTTAAAAGGCAAAAACATTTCTGCATTCAGTATTTATGCTAATAGAGATGATGATGGAAGTGGTGATGATGGCCATCGTTCCAATGGTAGTTCGTCATCGTTAAGCATCGGCGGTCAGAGACAGCAGAGGAAAAAAAAAATAATTTATGTGGATAACAGACAAACATGTGATGAACACCGTTACAGCGATAATTTTATCATTCCGCTGTTGAGCAAGTCAATCGAGCATGATAACATCAAGTCCAAGGGAAAGCATGCCAGTAAGAAAGGGACTTTGAAACACGATGGTAACACCAACAAGCGAATTGCAGGTAACCAACCAAGAGGATGTAGACTTGTGTGTTGTTCTCCACTTTGTTATTAATTCATTCATAAATAACTTTCAACCATACCGTACTTGCTTTCTTCTTTCTGCACTGCATTCTCCATGCCTCGGTACGGTCAACTTTTTCAACTTGGATGATAATAACTATCCTTTCCTTCAGCAATCCTTGGTGTTGCAGTCAATAACCTTTCTAGATCTGCCATTTTCCCTATCTGCTTTCGTATTGCAGCATTACACAATGTTCCTTATTGACTACATGCTAACCTCGATGCATAGGATACCAACTACAAATTAAAGCATAAAATATTTACCAGTACAATTTGATATACCACATTCTTTCTTGCAAGACGAGCCTGCAAAATCTCCTACTACCAGTGACTACAATGTTATAGTGTAGCATACATTTTCGTCCATGACAGATTGAGCTTTTCGTATCTATTATTGAAAAATACGCTTCTGTGGGCAGTTGTTAGATGAACATTGGCGTGCATGACTAAATTACTGCTGCTAACTTAGTTAGAAGCGATCCCCATACAGTTGCCCTTACGTGTATACAACTAACTACCATGGACTATTCCTTGTACAGTAAATGCCTTGCTCTGTGCAATGCTCAAGAAATGCACGTTGCAACATTGCAACCTTCTGCTTGGCCACATGTAACTCGTTGATCCGTAGATTAGCAACGTGCGAGCTGTACAGTATGTAAATTCCTACTACAACACCCAGAAGTCTCTCTATTATAGTGGTCTGTATGATGCCTATATGATATGGGATTGAGGTACGCCATGAATTCAATTAAATTAGATTAGTAATACTGCTGTTAAAATCGATTTCTTGTTTGTCATACTTATACTATCATGCTTGACTGGATAGTTGCCTTAATGGGATCACGCCTATTTAGATATCTTTGCAATGGCAGTACTGTATTAGTATTGTGCTCCACAGGAAGTTGACCATTTTAAACTAAAATTTGAGCAGAATTGGCTGTAAAACTTATTACTACCTTGTATTAGATAATTAGCATCACTACCGGTGCTGCACGTTTCTATTTTCTGACACCGTAACCTAAACAATTTGTATAACAATAATTCATATCTCAACATTTATATTTTCAGGTTTGATAACTTAATATGTTCTGGTTAATCTCCGAAATTAGACGATCCTAGGATTGACTAATACGCTAGTCAATTTTAGGATTGTCTGATGACTTAGGGATTGATTTTGCCTATGTGCCACATTTAGCTAGTTGTCGTTGCATTTCTTATTAACTGTAAACAATTTCTTAACATAATTACAATACAGTACAACAGTAATGGTACATACATATATAGATATATTATTACATGGCTACGTTGCAACGGTGTTGATCTTCAAGAAATTCGTTGCTCCTATGTTGTAATAAGATATTTTATGAATTCGATGTTAAGTAGAGCAAATACCAACTAATAAATACTGTACTAAAGTCTAAAGTGTTTCACGAGTTATCATGGTAAGGTAAAGTACGAGCTTGACTGCATCGCACAGTATCTATGGTACTTCTATACACTATACAAGTACAACTACTCTTATTCGAGGTCCAATCTTCAAACTGCGTATATAATATAATATTCCCAACAAACTGTATATCACTATTTTGATACATGTAGTTGCTGCAAATTAAACAGTCTCTTTCACAACAATCTTCATTCATATATTAATCGATTTCTTCAAGTTTTTAACTATCCCCATATGCAATATATATAGATAAGTGTCATAATCCAGACCATTTCTCCATCTGTAAAGACATACATTTGACAGGGGACATTAACGTTAAAGGCTTGTCAGTTTGTTTTACACTGTTGCAGCATCAAGTCTATTTTGTATCTGTACTGGATGAAGAGATGTTATATTAGGATTATGGTATTCCATATGTGTACAAAATCGACAGAATGATTCCGTTAGTATATTATCTGTCGTAGTTGCTATTTCATTGTACTATTCTTTACGCAGTTGCGCCCTCTGTCTTTTCTTGACATGCTTTACTACCGGCGTAAATATCAAAAGAGGTGAACTGGTTGTTAAAAATAAATTCTACTGCTTACTTAGATATCAACCTAACTTAATTATTCTGTTACAGCACAGTGTCTGTGATACATTGTTAAGGTTTACAACTAAGGGCTGTTACGTTGAAATCACGCTGATACTTACTTTGCTTACTGTAGAGTAATACTGATAGTAAAAATTTAAATTGCAGAAAATTCAGAGAATGAAAGTAATGAAGATTTAGTAAGTAATCTCGATGATGCCATGACATCTGCAGCTAGTAAGGCATCATGTAATGAAGAAAACTCGTATATCGTAAGCGACACCAGCGTAAAGGAAACGCATCTATCTCCACATTCGACCAGCTCAACTAACAGAAGCTATACTAAAAAAGTAAGTTGCAATCAAAACTGCAGTGATAGCGAGTATCGATTCATCACCATTTATTGAAATCTATAAGGTTAATTGCTTATAGCAATCATCAAATTAATCTATTTTTAATTACAGAGACAAACAGCCAAGCGTTCTACTAAAAATCTCAGAAAGAGAAAGTTAAAAATCCTTGCTAATGATAAGGCAAAACTAGAGAACGATTTGGATAAGACGGTAAAAATATCGGATAATGGTGAAAGTCAAATTAAGCTAAAGCGTCGAAAATTTGAAAAATTGGAAGAAGATTCTTTGATTAAACTTTTGAATGATGATCGAAAAATCGATGATAGTTTTGAAGTTGCCAAACAACTCTTTCAATGGATGATATTACCGATTCCTCTTGATACATTTTTCAAGTTAGGTTTTATTGATTTCTTCTCGGTAACTTACGTAAATCTATCTTTCTTATTGTTACTATATGATGTTACAGTTTATCTTGGGAGAGAAAACCAATCCTAGCTCAGCGACGGTCCTCAAGTTATAATAATGGTCTCTTCAGCAGTCATGATTTGGATAGAATAGTGAGAGAGGTTAGTGTAATTTCGCAAATGTTTTTAAATAATTTGCATTTAGATTAGTAATTTTTAGTGTATCGCATTTGAATAGAATTACATTGAATACTCTGTGAACTTGGATGTTACAACATATGAAAATGGGGTAAGAGAAACACATAATGCTGAAGGAAGAGTACTAGCTTCTGTAATGTGGGACTATTATCAGGTTTGTGAAATCATCTCAACTGTACTATACAACTTGTGTTTCATCTAATTGTCATATAGCTACAATAAATATAGTATATGGCTATACACATATATCCATTTAATATACGTAAGCGTATGTGTACATTTGCATCCATACATGTTATGCAATATTTGAATTCGTGCTTACTTAAGATACTTTTTCTGCCCATTTACATTTCAGAATGGATGTTCAATTCGAATGCTTAATCCGCAAACTTATTCAGAGTCATTATGGAAATTTTGTTCGTTACTACAGGAATATTTCGGAAGCTTTGTTGGCTGTAATATGTACGCCGGACCTGATGACTCTTTCAAACACGATAATTCATACATGTCTACTATTAATTCGTAATTTTATGCTAGGTACCTGACTCCACCTGGCACACAAGGGTTTGCACCCCATTTTGATGATATCGAAGCGTTCGTTTTGCAGTTAGAAGGAAAAAAAAAGTGGCGATTTTATAATCCAAGGTGACCAGTTGCTTAGCTTTCATTTCCTTATTTAATATAGCTTGTAACAATTATATGTGTATTCGTTCGATCAGAGATGACTCCGAGATTCTTCCTGAGTATTCTAGTGGTATGTTTGAGTTGATGTTATTAACAAATGAAGCAATCCTTGTCTTAAGCAAAATTACTGTATAAGCGTATCTCGGTAACGTCTCATTCTTTCGTGCTTTTATAATGATTTAAGGAAATTTCAATCAGAACGAGATTGGTAAACCATCATTTGAATTTGTGTTGGAACAAGGAGATTTTGCTTATTTTCCGCGGGGAACCATTCATCAAGTCAGTTTTTTTTATTTTTCCTTGATTAAATATTGTTCTTCATTCATGACTTATTCATCCTGCATTGAACTTTGGGGCAATATTCATGTGCCTAACATTAGCTATGGCCTGTATTAGTTACTTATCAAACCGTTATAAGTTACTCTACATTTAGATTTTTTTCTATGTTCTACATGTGCTATCGACTCTGCAGGCACAATCATTACCGGATTGCCACTCATTGCACATAACTGTATCAACGTGCCAGCTTCATTCGTTCGGAAAGTACTTCGAAAAGGTTCACTACAATTAGTACTATCGCTCTTTAAGGATACTAGATGCGCACTATATTATCTCTTTTTAGGCGATACTAATATATTTGGATTTGACTTTACTGGTCTAGCTTTTACCTATGGCAATACGTTCTGCGTTCAAGAATAACTTGGGGCTAAGGAAATCCTTACCTCCTGATTTCTTTGCTAACATCGGTGGAATTCATGCGGACTCCGTAAGTAAAGTGTAGGCTCCTAACTGGCTTTTGATAAATGTAAATATCAATAAAATTATTATTCTTATATGCGCTCCAATAAACCGTGCTCATAAAAAATTCATAGAAAAATGCCCGACGAAAACAGTTAACCACCGAAGTAAAGCAGTTTCTGAAAGATATCATCGATGACGCTCCTATTGATGAAGCGGCGGATCTAGTAAGTACTGCAAGAGTTACTAATTATAAATTAGAATGATTATTGATTGGAATGTCTTCTTAGTACAAGCCTAACATTATAATTATTGTGGCATCCTGTAAGAAACTATGATTCATCTGTTTATTCGACAATAGTTTGCTGCGGGCGTTATTCATGATTATCTACCACCATGTCACACTCAAGGTATTGTACGGTATCTTAGATATGCAAAAATGTAACACACGATTATTCACTTTACAAATGTGTTAATTTATTGCAGAAGAGAGAAATTGTATGATCTTCACAACCGGAGGTCGTTGGAATGGATCAGGTGTTGTGAGCTGTGTGACATTAAATGAAGATAACAGAATCAAATTAGTTCGCCGCGAAGTCGCTAGGTCAGTAGAATGGTTTATGTAAGGATTAAAATGAAAGTGATATGTGGTCTAATTGTTATGATTATACTAGACTTGTTAAAGGCGATTCTAATTATCAGCTGCATTTTTCTACGGAGAATTCTAAAGTATACCATGGATATCAACCACAATTTATTGAATTGCCTTGTGAAGTACGCAAGACTTTATTTTAATAATTACATTATCATTATCTATTGATATCAAGATAAAGCTCAACTTTTGAGTTTATCACTGAATTCATTATGTCGTATCTAGATGATCGATGCCGTGAAATATCTTTTTAACTCCTATCCGGATTACAAGAGAGTTGGAGATCTACCTGGTAGTGATAAGGATATCAAAGTAAGATTGTAGTGATAAATATTCAGAGTACGTAATTTTAATACGCTGTGAAGTATCCTGATTTTGAAACTGATCCCATTTCTGTTCATAATCTATGAAGTATACCATTAGCTGTAATGGTTAGCCTTATGAAGTTAAAAGTGCTGCATTTACTAATTAATGTCAAATATTTTTCAATTATTTTTAGGTAGATCTTGCGAATGTATTATATGAAAAGGGTATTATTATGACCCAATTTCCTATATCGCGCTAATCTTAACAGTTTACGCCAGTCAGTATATCATTAAAAATTCCGGCTTTATTTTGGCGTAATATACTTACATAAAAATTATAATTGGTCCGTAAATTAATAGTGATAGCTGTCGATATTGATGTCGCTGTTTTAACACGGTACCTTATCTGAATCTGTATCATGATCTTATGTGATAAAAGCTATTGTCAGAATGATGCTTAGGAGCTTAAACTAAAAGGAGGGCTCCGTAATAAAACTTTGTTGGAAAATAACTATAGTATAGTCAGATCTTTCATTGTTGAGCTTGATCAAGCAATCTAAATCTGTGTAGCAGCTATCTGCCGTAAATGATATTATAACACCTTTAGACTAAATTTCAGTATCGTGACGATCCCAGTTACAATTATTAGAATGAGTTCCATAGGGTAATATTCTTAGATCGATTACTAAAGTCGGTAATTCATCTTATCGTCTTTTCAGATTTATTATCGTACAGTACAGCAATGAATTGTAATTCTGCATGTTCATCAACGTAAAATATGTTGATTGCTATTGACAATTTGTAACTCCGATGACTTTTATGGAATATTGCTGAGGCATACGAGTATGCTTAATTATATTAAAGTGTTAATACTATACCGTATACAACTATCAGATAGCATGATCGACCAAAAACAGCACAGAGTCGGAAAAATAAGAATAGTTTATTCTCTCTACAGTCATAAGATTAGATCAATGAATAGTTATATACTGTAGATATATGTACAGTATATATTTAAACTAGAATTTCACTGAAGCGGTCACTACTTTGAGTGTCCTTTCAATTATCTGTAATGGGTAACAAAGATGTAATTAATTAAATATCGCCTTTACGACCAAGTCAGGATTGTCGTTGCATGAAGCTTATCCTGATTGTCCTAATTAGAAGATTGCTTGCCTTGAGAACGAAGAAATTCCGTGTAATCTAGATAACCATCACCATCTAAATCGTCTTCTTTTAAGACTTCGTCTACGGTATTGACAACATCACTATCATCGATTGCCTTATCGTTAGCTTTATTGTGATGAGATAAAGCTGCCATAATTTCCAATCCATCCAATTTGGAGTTATCATCATAATCGTGCAACTTAAAAAAGTGAAAGTTCATTTTTTCGGAGTCCATTTTCTCGTTGGTATCTATATCAATCTGATCCCGTAGATGTTCTTCGAGATGACTTTAGCATAAAGGATAATATAGTAAGTCTATTTAAGCTTCAAGATTATCAATTTGCTACTCAAGTTAATTAACAGGGAATGAATGAGAGTAGTTTTTATAACTATTGTTAAATTGATGAGATTCTCTAAGTAAAGAATATTACCACTCAGGGATGCTAGATAGACAATTTATTTTGAAATATGCATGACTGCTACAGTATAGAAATTGACTAGATATAGAAGTAGAGCATCTTGGTAATGCTGGCTTTTAATCTAACTTACTCGCGATCTTGAATGTTTGCTTTATCGTGAAAGGCATTATTATTTTGTTGTGCATCTACTGTTACAGTTAGCGCATAAAGCGTAAAAGCTACCAACAAAAACTTCATTATTTCATACAATTCAAAGAATTAGAACCAAGGACCTATTAGATAAACGTTAGTTTAATAAGACATTATTTATTAGACTGTTTGATATTATTTGAATAATTGATGAAGTAGGTATTGAACTGTACACAGTACACTGTAGAGTAAATCTACATTTATAAGTACAATATCCTCAATGTATGCAATATCATTTAGAGCCGTGAGACTGGAACGCCATCTACTGTATTATAGATTAACTTTCTAATCATTAATTTATAATCGTATTCCATGAGCTACAGTTACACATTGCAAGGAAATTGAAATTATACGCTGATATGGAAAATTAGTAATATTGCATATGAGTCAATAATGGATGGACCCTATTCGATACTATTTATACTATACAGTAACAAGATGAGTAGAACTGCTTGTACTGTTGATTACTGACTATGAATGAGTCCAAAAGATAATGGAATTACGAATAAAAATGGCTTATTTAATTCCGTGACTCAATATACAGTACTCGTCTAGTTCAATTGGTTCTAACTGTAACTTTAAACATTAAGATTGATATCCTCAAGGTATTCATTGTACTGTACGTTAATTTAATTAGAATTTCACAAGAATACTAACTCCAATATTGTTAAAGTGATTGACTTAACCAAGTTGAGTAGTTTACAGTAAATTAGACCCGACAGCGTTATTTCCTTGCGTTCATTGCCACGACCTTAGTACTGTATTCTGTATTCTGTGTTTTGTCACCAATGCGACAGGTGTTCAAAGTAGTAGCTACGCGTACAGTACCGCATAGTATTTCGACTCAAGTTTAATTCAATTTAAAATTCTATCGCATCCAACTGTAACAGTTGTATAAGATTGGTTCATTGGATTCAATCAGGTTCAATTAAAAATGAACTAAAGTTGAACTTTTTCAACCTTGGTTACTTTATGGTACTGTATAATAAATACGTACAGCATCGTACACGGCTCTATCTTGGATTATGATCTGTATATATACAGTATATAATATATATATATTAATTAATTAATTATTAGTGTATGGCAAACACATTGCATCTGCTGTTATTTATTTACATGTACGCGTTTACCCTATTGATGAGTATTATCAACCAATACGATGTAGTCTGTACAAGAGCAATTTTGGAGAGGATAATCTTGGATCAAATTGTGCTGCAACCAAGCAATCCAATGCCAGCCACTCTGATTGCCGTCCTGAAGGAGTTAAAGTGGATTAAGAAAGTTTTCTAATGCTTGCTGACAGGCAGAGCGATGCAGGCTAGTACAGTATTGTACAGTAGTACTGTATAGTACAGTACAGTACAGTACAGTACTGTAGTGTAGTTTATACTGTACTGTACACTACTGTAGCACACCAGTAATTTACAGTACTGTACTGTAGTTCATCTTCTATCATCAGCCAGCAAAGTCGAGTATGGCGTTGCATGACGTCACATTGACGTGGCATCCAATCATTGGCAACACCAGGAGGATTGGCTACAGTACAGTACTAAACTGTAGTGTACACTGTACTGTAAAACTACAGTATTGTACTGTACAGTACAGTACAGTACAGTAAATCTTACCCCTAAGATTTACTTTACTGTACTGTGTACTGGAGTAGTGTACAGGAGTTGCGTGTACTGGAGTCGCACTTTAGCACAAATAGTCTATCATGTCTGATATGGCGTTAAGTGGAGATGACTAGCAAAATGATTGACCCCCTTATTTTGACTAGACTGAACGGCCGTTCTCCGTCCCTCACTTTTGACAGTAGTAGCCCCTGACTGTACCAAGGACTATTATGGCCAAATTTGTCCCATTCCAATACAGGACTCTTGATGACAGTATGTACTGTACTGTTGCACTGTCATGGGCTACTCAATTGACCGGCGAATTTGGAATTCATAGAAATACAGTACAGTACTGTACAGTACTGTATGATTTGTCTTTGTTTCTACAGTACAGTACAGTACAGTACAATACTGTACTGTACTGTAGAAGTTACTTTTGCCTTTTACTATACTGCACTGTACAATCTTTACAATTGAAATGTCACCCCAATTTTCCATCTATTGGTACTGTAGCGGCCCACTCAGTACTGTACTCCAGTGCAAACCGGACTGGGGTGACACTTTCAATTGAACAGACTGTACATTAAGCCCAGCTGTAATAACCCCGACTACTCAAATACTCAGCGTAAATAGCTTCAACGATGATACATTACTCTAGGAGTCTGTACATGTACACTACAGTATTTACGGTACATTAGGCCCAGCCATAATAACCCCGATTACTCAGATACTCAGCGTAAATAGCTTCAACGACGATATATTATTATTCTAGGAGTCTGTACACTACAGTATTTATGGTCTTTGTCTCCAGACCGTACAGTGTAAAGCACTGTCTTATACAGTACAGTACTGTACTGGATAGTACTGTAGACGGGTACTACCGACAAAGGCAACATCATTCAAATTCAATACCAGACCGTACTGTCATTCAATCGCAACAATATAAAATCCTTTGACGCGTAGTTTGTCCATTTTTACTTTCACTCTTGAAAATTTGAACTTCGAATAGTTTACTAGTCATTTTAAATAGGACTAAAGTAGTAAGATAAGCTCATAGCTATCTTTTTTTTTTGGCCGGACTAAGGACTTGTGCTGGATTGACCACCAAGCGAAAGAATGAAGCTTTTCATCGTATCACTATTCCTGCTATTGTTATTGTCTTTCGTCACTTGCGCTGAAAGAATTAGCCCTTTGCGGGATACCAAACATATCAAAGATCGAAAGTAGGCTTGCTGACTGTCAATGTTACTTCATATTGATTTCCATCTTAATATGACTACTACAATAAAATGGACCGTGTAGCACTCTAATTTTTAAACTATTTTTAAAAGTATGCAGTAGACTAAGTGGACATAATGTTATCGTTATTTCTCTACCTTTCGTAAACAAAAGCGCTTTTTGTCCATAATTTACTCCTAACGGCTTTCATGATGTACTTATATACACCAAATTAAATACAAAACCCTTTCATAGGTACACGATTACACATTTCCTAAGACTCCTCATACTCGTATCATTGTATACAATGAAAGTCAAAGTCAGAGTTTCAATATCGAAAAGCGATCTAAATCATCAATTTTGTGATTATTTTATTTGTAGACAAGATAATGCATGTACGTGTGTAAATGAACCATACCAATCTCTCGCTTAAAATACTTGAGTCAATTGTCTCATAACATAACAATCTGAAATAACCATAACTGTTTTAATATGCTCCCTATTATTTCAATATACTATCGTACATGGCTACTTACTAGTTACTGTAATGTTGTTAAAGGTTTTAAAAGACGATAGGTTGTTCAAAAATAGTGACGATATTGCTACATAAACTGATTGTGGAAATGTTGCACAAAGACACGGACTAGATATTGTACATATAGCTATCTCCAAAGGTACCATAACTTGCCAATTAAAAATATAATACTGTACACGTACAGTCTATAGAGTATATACAACAGTACATATCAAAATTGAACGCACATAAGGCCTTGTGAATAAGAGTACTTAACAATGAACTTGATGGAATAGGTAATGTTGTTCAAGATTGAAGAAGACGAAACGCGCTTGAGACATATTAAGATCTTGCTTTGTTGACTAAGTACTGTACTCAGCACACTATAGGAGATACTGATATCTAGAATAGCTTTTTATCCACAATTTAACAACTGTACGGTACAGCCATATCGTCAGGCTCGACGATTAACTTACGGAATCCAACGTTACTGTACACGTACTGACTTTATGAAAATCCTGCAACCTTATTTATTTCGCCACCTTACACTACGAGCACAGTAGTAGTACAGTATGGTCATAGAACATCAAAATTGATAACATCGAAGCTGTCGTACTGTACACTACATGCTGACATTGTAGCTAATTTCTGTTAGATTCAATTAAACCTTTAGCCTGTAATGGCTAGTGTTATACGCGTGCTTATTATACTCTCTTTCATTAAATCGGTAGACATATCGAAGAACACTTAAAAGAACAAGTCAACGTTAAAGAAGAGAAGCTCGATGACGAAAATATGGTTATGCATTATTTCAAGTTACATGATACTGATAACAATGGTAAACTTGATGGCTTAGAAATTTTTAAAGCTATGTCGGATTACACAAATCATAACGATGAAAAATTTGACGACGCAAAATTTGCAGAATGGATAGATCGAGCCCTAGAAGATGATGATAGAAATGGAGATGGTTATATTGATTATGCGGAGTATATGTTGGCCTATAATTCATAAAGTAGCATATAATTAATTCCGTCGGCCTGATATTTTGCACATCATAATGGCTGTGCACAACATACAGGTGCTTCATATTGTTGAAGCAAAAACATGAGTATATTAACCTGCTACATCTAACTAGTTATATTGATTATACGCGTATTATAATAATTTATTATAGTACAGTACATCAGTTTTGCTGTAATGATATAAATAGACATCTGTAATAGTTTTTATTTATTTATATCCTTATTTGTTTTCACTCTGATTTCTTACTCTCGCAAGTGCAACAACCACTGTGCATTACTCACATGGTTGGATATTAAATATTATCTTATATGCCCGTACGAGTAAGATCTAGCTAAAAGATCTGAGATATAGATAACACGGTCATGTACTAGACTATACAATGTTACTATAAATATTCTCTTTAATATCGATCCTCTGATATTAAGATAATATAGGATGTATCTGATTATATAGACATGAATATAAGGATGAAAAATGGTAGTAAAATAAAATTTTCAATGTCTAGTCCTCTATATTCTGATGAAAATATATTCCAAAATTGCGAATAATCATGCTCATTTTGTTCACTTTAATCGAATGAAGCAAGCTATAATCAATAATTCAGTATACTGCGTTCCATTTTTGCTTAGAATAATAAAGTATTATTTATCGTTAGAAACGGAACTGTAGATTATATAGCTTAAAAATGAAACCCATGGTGGTATTTCGACTTGAAGTTGCTACTAATATAACTGCTCCTGTAAAATATTACAGTGCAAAGCGTTTGTGGGACTACTCGTAACAGATCCATCGAAATAGAACAGTATACTCGTATCTATATATAAATTGTTATTACAAATGATATTTCGTATGTATTTTCTTGCTACAACATTATAGAGCGATTATAGTATATACTGTAGAAGATAAGAATGATAGGATAGTAAACTGGTATACTGTAATAGATATTAGATATTTATAGGCCAATTCCGACAATGGCCACTTTGGCATAACATCGTTGCAGACCACAAGTTACGCGAATTTCAGTATAAACAGTGTACAGTATATTCGATACACAAAAATTTTGATGATATTTACTGTATTTTCCGTGGTTAGAAAATGGACAACTTGTTTTAGTACATGAATCACTACACTTGTAGTGACATTGGCATCCGTCTAAGACAAGCAATTACGAGTACTATAATTAATTGCCTTTCCAATAGATAAATTCTTCGTGGACATCTAGGAGCTCATGGCACTTTAGCTTTAATATGATTCGAGTAAATACCTCAAATTACCAACACTGTATATATAGACCGGAATTTATGAATAAAATAAAATAATATTCATATTTATTTTTTGTTAACATTTGATGCCAGATAGTATACAATAAAAGTAAATCCAATCAAAAATGATTGATATTCAAGCTATAATATTTCGTAATAGTGAGCAATAGTATCTTAAAAGTGTAATAACTTGAGGATTTTTCATAATAATCATTACAATACACAACACTTCTTAATTCTGATCCTCGAAAGGTAACAGCTTCTATTTTAAATTGGGTACATGGATCAATCTGCAGGACAATAATCTTTATAAAGGTATAGTACGAAGCTATATCTTAAGCAATAGATTTAAGTCTAGCAGCAAACATTTAATACGCTTAATTAGCTTGGAATACGTTACAACGTGAATAAAAGTTTCAAAGTAAGTGCTACCTGTGATAAACTATATTTCCTCCTTTAATAACGTATTTGATTAAAGACTCTTGATTTCCCATTTGATAAATCAGGTGCTCCCAACTATTAAATTTAAAGTAAAATTTATTGTTACTACATGTCGATTTCTTATACCGCACAACAACATAGGCGTAGTTCTGAAAAGGATTTCAATGTTGGCATATTATTGTGATAGCATATTTACCTCGCCGCATCAATTATCAGCATATCACCAAGTTTTCCGATTTCAAGCGATCCTTGTCGTTTCGATTTTCCTAGCGAAGCTGCGGCATTAATCGTTGCTGCAGCAAGCGCTTCTTCCATAGTCATCTTTAAAATGATACATGCCAGATGCATGACCAACGGCTAAAGATATGAGTATGTCAACAAATTTAACAACACCACATTATATATTGATAGTCAAAAATGGACTAATCAAAAATGACTTACCATGGACAAGCAATATGCATTTGGATTAAAATCGGACCCAAGTGCAACAGCAACACCTGAACATAATATAAGTACTACCTTACTACGGTACATGATATACTAACATAACTGACTACACTAATAATTAATTATATCAAATATACGCATAAAGTAGTTCGTGTGATACCGTTATCGATCATTTTTCGTGCAGGTGGCGGAGATAATTTTAAAATGTAGGCAGTCGTTGGAAGTAGTACTGCAACTGTCCCACTGCTAGCCATAGCTTTAATTCCTTCATCACTAACCATTTCTAAGTGGCTAATTGCCCTCGCACCTAGCTTAGCTCCCATCTGTAATAGTAAAGAACTAGGTTTAGGACTTAAGAACAAGTGTATTCTCAATATGCAATATTACCTCAGCAGATTGCAAAGGATGCAATTCTTCTCCATGAAAATTTAATGCTAGCCCTGTCTCTTTTCCAGCCTTTAATATTTTAGAGGTGCTTGGTACGTCGAATACTCCCTTTTCGCAGAACACATCGATATTATCAACTTGCAAGCTACCTTGATCTATAAGCTCTTTAATAGCAGGAATTTGATTATTTATGATATCATCAGTAGCTTCCTCCATCGTCAAATTCCTTTATTAAGGGTATTTACAAAAGGCAAATTTTTTAGTGAACTGTAATCAAATCATATGACAGAAACTTGAATTATACATTCATAACTACAATATACGTATAACAATTAATTCGTGATCACATTACATTTATTTGAAATCAAATAACTTTATATAATTGTAAACGCGTATTCTATGTTAGTATAGATATCAATTGTTTTGCTGCGTTTAACCTTTACTAAATAGCCCTAAGAGTTGAGATTACTGGAAAGAGCTTGGTAAAACGTATTTATTTATAAGTTACTAGACTGATATGACGATCGTTTCAATATCGGCTAATTCGTAAATCTAGAATAGGCCAATCGATAAACTACGTCATTCTTCAAATCCCGTAGTGATACTGTAATGTCACTTGTCAAGTATTAAGATATTGTACGCATTATAGAATGTGAGTAAAATTTAGGGCATAAGAAGTCTTAATGGGAAATATAACCGCTTACTCTGGCACTGAATGGGCTCCACAGTAAGTAGCTGAAATATCGATGGGAAAGTTATCAATCCCTCGTTTAATAACACGCAACATCTTTATTTCCGTGTCAACATCCAAGCCATATCCACTTTTAGCTTCGAATAATGTAGTTCCATTTTTCATCATATTAGAAGCCCGCTTTTGAAAAGAGTTGTACAGATCATCCTCTGAAGCTTGGCGTGTATGTCGAACAGTAAAATTGATTCCACCTCCACTAGCATGAACTTCCATGTAGCTAGCTCCTCTTAACTGTGAATGAACATGCAAGGAGATACCCCTTAAATTAGTATCATTTAGACATCAAAAGAGGACTTGATGCTATTCAATATAATAGTAGGTAAATTAATTCTTGTGATTGTAGCTCTAGATCATGAGTAGAACTAATTGTAGCACAAATTGATGACAATCTGGTGCGTAGCGATCATTATCTAGTACTGAATTCAATATAGCCGTGAAATACTTGATCGCTTATGTTAGACAATAGGACATGCAAGCTTATATCATATACACTTGAGTGAGTGAAATACTTTACATATTATTAACGTATATAAAATGATAAATAAAAAAATATAGTAGTTTTTGTACAAGTATCGAAATACGTATAGTACGCTAATGCACACGTGAGTACAGTATCTTGAACAGTAGTTCAAGCCCTATCATGAAGGAATAAATTATAAACGAATGTTACACTTCAAGGATGCATTAGTTGTTATGCTCTACTGCATTATGGCATACTGCAATTAATCTGATTGTTGGTAGTGATAAAGTGTAAATTCTGACATGTTGCTGTTTGATAGTTTCTGAGATCCAATTCTGTCCATTCAGTTTAATGCAGACACTCGTATTTACATATAAATCTTCGAAGATACGTATACATATCCGCATATTACATATGGATGATTTTTATCCAATAAGTGCATGGTCATATTACAATTTTAGTACACAGACCTTCATCTTAAATTCGTGGACACGATCACCAGCCCAGACTGGATGCGTATGGCCGTCTACCAAACCTACAAATACAAAAGTATCGGAAATAAAATACAGCTATTGCTGTTGTGATGAGTAATGAATTATTCTCTACATCATAAATGATTCAGGGACTACTTTATCCAAACTGCAGTACGAATATGTCTACTGCGAATAAAGATTATAGTATTCACGAATAGCGCTCTGTGTGTAAGTTAATTAAATACCAGTAGATCGGTAGCAAACATCATTATTCAACCTGCAAATGTACATTAATCACTACAGCACAACAGCTACTATTTTAAACTGTAGTGTACACACGGTATCATGATTGTGACAGGAGAATAAAGTAGTATGGACCTGTGACTCAATCATCAGTCTTGATCATTTATCATCATCGTATTAGATGTTGAGCTAGGACGCTGTAAACGTGGCGATTATATCTAAGCTTTCGTGTGTAGTCGATACAAGTTGTAGTAAACTACAGCAGATGATTACAGTACGTAGACAGTTGTACACTTCTCCTTGTGTTCTGTAGTTTGAAACCTTGGCAAAAGTATCACGAATAAAATATGTATCAATGTGCAACAGCAAGAGCGTCTACTTACAGACCTGGCAAGACGCACATATCCGTCGCATCAATAATGTTTGTAAAGTCTTTTGGCGAGAATTCTTTGTCAATTTCTTCATCAGGTCCAATAGCATCAATCGTTCCACAATTATCAACAACTATGGAATAGCCAGTTGAAGAAGATTGATCGCTCTTGGTTAATACAGCTAGTTGGTTCATTGCAGCACCTGGCAATGCTAGCTGTCCCTTATTGCATACCATAACAACTTGTTTAGCATGTCGAACAAGAAGGCGAAGTGTTGCCATTGTCAATGACACTTGTATGCTCGTATCATTCAAATCGTACTGCAGCTTCTACCAAATGCAAGATCTTCGAAGAAAAACGAAAATCCGAGCGATGTTTGATTGATACAAGGTTGCTGTTAATCTCGCAGTAGGCTACACTTGATTTTGCATCTCAGTTTGTTTTGAGTGGCTAACTTCAGTTTGCAGTAGCGTACTGTAGTTTCCTCCTAGTCGCTTACTGTAAAATACTATCCAGTAGAGTACCATAGACTAAGGTTTTGCATCCGTCACATGACAGTACAAAGTTACCTTGAGATGTTGGGAATCCATGACCACATGCTGGTTGTTATACTGTATAAACAGAGTATAGTATAGTATGTTATAACATACTATACATCTCAAAAACATGTTATCACCCTGTTACTGTTAATACTGTAATACTGTTATAGACAGATATCGGCTTGTATCTGAATAAAAATTGTCCATGAAGACTAGAGTTGGATCGCGGCTACAGCTTATACTGCGCTCTAAAAAAGGGATAAGATTAGTCAGGGGACTTGATCAGATATCGGCTTGTATCTGAATAAAAATTGTCCATGAAGACTAGAGTCGGATCGCGGCTACAGCTTATACAGTACTGTGCTCTAAAAAAGCGATAAGGGATAAGATTAGTCAGGGGACTTGATCAGATAGCGGCTTGTATCTGAACCAAAAGTTGTCCATGAAGACTAGAGTTGGATCGCGGCTACAGCTTATACCGTACTGTGCTCTAAAAAAGCGATAAGGGATAAGATTAGTCAGTGGACTTGATCAGATATCGACTTGTATCTGAATGAAAGCTGTCCATGAAGAATAGATTTGGATCACGGCTACAACTTGTACAGTGCACTCTAAAAGTGATAAGGGATAAGATTCGTCAGGGGACTTGATCAGATATCGGCTTGTATCTGAATGAAAATTGTCCATGAAGACTAGAGTTGGATCGCGGCTACAGCTTGTACAGTGCACTCTAAAAGTGATAAGGGATAAGATTCGTCAGGGGACTTGATCAGATATCGGCTTGTACTGTATCTGATTGAAAGCTGTCCATGAAGAATAGATTTGGATCACGGCTACAACTTGTACAGTGCACTCTAAAAGTGATAAGGGATAAGATTAGTCAGGGGACTTGATCAGATATCGGCTTGTATCTGAATGAAAATTGTCCATGAAGACTAGAGTTGGATCGCGGCTACAGCTTATACTGCGCTCTAAAAAAGGGATAAGATTAGTCAAGGGATTTGATCAGATGTCGGCTTGTATCTGAATGAAAGCTGTCCATGAAGAATAGATTTGGATCACGGCTACAGCTTGTACAGTGCACTCAAAAAGTGATCATGGATAAGATGAATAACGATACGATTCTCTTAATGTACACCGTCTGATTCATTTCAATTAGGGTAGAAAAAATAAAATTGTGTAAGTTAAATCAAGCCTAAATTAGGTCAATTCTGTAGTAGTGTAGCCTAATCACTCAGGAATGCCGATGTAGTTGTCATTTCTCTAGATAGTGTATACTTTTTACATAAAATTCGTTGAATGAGTTTTTACTATCTACAGTACAGTAATGACAATTTGACATACAGTACATTAGTAGAGTACACTACTGCATGCACAATAAAACGATTCTGACTGTGTACAGTAGACTATTTCCCCTTGGCCTACGGTACTGTACTGTACTCTACATGTTGAACTTCCTTTTCGAATTTCGATGTAAAAAATCCACTTCCTTCATTGCAATTAAAATGGCTTAAATATTATATGTGCTGGTAGATGAATACATGCTGGTATAAAATCGATACAGTTTTGATATTGATCATAGCATTTAAATAGAATTCTTATATTCTAAAGCCAATGTAAACATGCTGTACTGTATGCTGAACTTCGTTTGAATTCGAGTCAGGCTTCCTCAAGGTTCGCTGAATAGACAAAAGATGCAAGATTCAAGAACAATAGCAAACCACAGTCGGTAACGGAAATTGAAAAGAAATGCTTCCTTTTTTATACAGTATCCTTTTCTCCTGATATGTAGTAATATATATGATCTATCCTTCCATATTTATTTATTTATTTATTTATGATGTTGTACGGTATGTTAGTACAGTACCGTGTACAGTATAGTATCAAAACTCGTCTACTGTAGGTTATTGGGAGGCTGATACAAGAATATCTCCAAATATCCAATCGTACTGTACAGCTACACTTTATGTCAACACGCTACGGTGCATTGTACTGTGTATTGTAAATAGCACACACTTGTGTACTGTACAGTACAGTAAACTTGATGTCAACACTCTACGGTGCATTGTACTGTGTACTGTAAACAGTACACACTTGTGCAAGTCAATTTTGTTGAGTCATCCACCAAGATCGAGCTGAAAAGTAGCTTCAGTTGCAACGTCAACCTCATCCAGTGACAAACGTTATCTTGCTCGATATCGCTATCGTCAGCCAATCACTAACAGTGGATTACTGAGCTGTCGAGCTTTTCCATACTGTACTCCTATAGCGCTGGGGAAGAGAAACTGCAAACTGCAAACCTTGTATTAACGACGCTTTGAAGAAAGAAATTTGACCGCCATGGCAAAGAGGTACCTCAAACTAGCTTGTCGAGTATGGATAGATTTGATCATTGCATGAATCAATCGGTTAACCTTGAATCCACTGTTCATGGTATAATTCTGTACAATCATTTATTACTCTGCTATCACTTGCAATTATGATTCAATGTTGGATGTTGCTCTTATAACAGTTGTTTACGCCTAGAAATGACGCTACAGTCTTGAATGAGCTGATGATAGCCTGTTGAATCTTGTTGAAATGATCATCCAATGGAAGTCATTGCAGCATGCTGTTTTACCTTAATGGTGTATAAAGTCAAGAAATTACTTGACATTACTGTAACATAGGCATATGGACTGCAAGCGTTCAAATGAATTCTTGCAAATGTCTTAATCGACAGGATGATACAACATGTTTAGCAATCGAAGTACAAAGAGCCATTGCGTTACCCTTACTGAAATAATAGTCATTGACCAAGGCAGAAATGGAGACACAGACGCCTATACTGTTCGCGTCCATGACACAGCAATTTTGGAGTTGGTAATATTAGAACAACGTAATCCGTCAGCATAGCGATGCAAAGCCAAGTCAACTTTGAAGTATTATTGTAAAATAATATTCTAGAAGTATAATATTAGAAGAACATAATCCGTCAGCAAAGCGACGAGCGTTTGCAATATTACAACAACTTAATCAGTCAGTACTGTATAGCGACGGGAGTTTGTACTAGTATGTACAACAACTCAAGGCAAAATTAAATTCTCACTTTAAACATACAGTAGTGCATAATTGCAAAGTTTGATAGACAGGATTAGACTACAATCAAACCCATAAAATGAGGCTTTGAAGTCAACACGACCCCATTTAGATCGCCAGCTGGAAAACACTAAATACTGCATTAATGCAATGACCTGTATCAACAGAATCATGTATCATGCTGAAATAATATTTCCACTTTACAAACGTACAAAGAAATATACTCCAAACATGATTGTTCATGAGCTGATTTGAAATACAACTTGTTTTATACTCTCTCATCTACCATACGATTATTCTAAGGCTGTTCAATAGAACCGTTATACTGTAATACCCTTTTTACTACGTTGATTGACAAACCAAGTAAATACGCAGTGGTAGTAGCATACGCGTACACTGTACTCGTCGATCCACTCAGTTACTGACCCAGCTACTTGCATCATACCAAAATATCGTTGTCTATGTCGCCAGTGTATCGATCGCTTTTGCCAACGACTGCTAGTACTCGGTTAGTTGCAAGACAAACTTTCTTCACAGCTCGTACCCACTGATAGAATGAATGATGCTTTTCATTACCTTAAAATGATAATGATATTACCAAAACTAGCACGCAATCACGGACTACTGTACTAAATAGGATCTGCTTCCATGACAACAAATTACCATCTGGCAGGACTTGCTCTAGGAAATGTAGCTACGATCCTGCACACCACCTTTCTGAAACTATGAAATGTTGCATCAGTTTCAAACATGATGTAAATTTAGTCAAGGCATAGGTGATAAAATAAAGTATATACGCGAGTAGATGATAGGAGGCCAACTTTTAGTGCCATTTTTAGTAATTTCTCATTTATTGAATTGTCAAGCATAGGCGGAAATTCATCTCATCAATTGAGCTTCTGCAGTATTTTCGTTACCTTCACAGAATACTAACTAATTACTAGACAAAATAAATCAAGCGCCAAGTGCATCGATTTATTATTAATAAGATATTGCATGACGAGGACTGCTAATTGGACAACGATATTAATGGCCCTAATTGACGCCTGTTCACCGTTCGGTTGCGGCTCCAATTGATTTAGGGTTTCATATGTGAATCATCATAAAAAATAAAAACTTCTTTTCGCAAGTTCGTAAACTATCTGAGTTAACGCATGCATAGTCTGATACAGCATATAAATATTCAATCTTTCCAACAAATTCTGTACTACAGCTTTATAAGTAAACTTGTAAAATTTAGCAAAAGCAACGTGATGAACAATTTAACTAAGTAGTATCAATACTAAAATTTTTAGCGTTTACCCCTACTGCACGTATAAGGATCAACAACACCAGCAATTGTTATTTTATTAATACAGCACTTACTTGCATAAGATAGTGTAATTTGTCCATTAAGAATGACCCATTTCTTTCTTATTACACACATTTTGACTGACTTGCATATCAATTCTTATAGAGAGAAAATTCAGAAAGTACATATCTTGGAATCTGAAAATGCAGAGACTAAGAGGCTACATGAGGATGAAGCCAGAACTGCAAATTGGAAGCGATGGGGACCATACTTATCTGAGCGCCAATGGGCTACCGTGAGAGAAGATTACTCTGATGATGGCAATTGGTGAGACAGTAATACACCTATCTTTGATTAATTATATAGTACTGAAAACATCTTAGCGTATGCTGTATTTACTCTCATACACTACTTGTGTCTAATATATCTTACATCAGTTGGTTTCATTATTTACAATACAACTAAACTGTTATAACTTCCATGAAGTTATTGATAATGTGATACTATACTCTACAATGATTGTACAGTTATAACAAACCACTTGGCTGTGTTTATCTAACAGCTTAACTTGGATAATAATGTTTCGCCCACCAAGGTGCAACTCTTATTTCAATAATAACTACCATGAAGTTATTGAAATATCAATGTGATACTATACTGCACGATGATTGTACACTTATAACAAACCACTTGGTTGTGTTTATCTAACAGCTTAACTTTATAATAATGTTTCGCCCACCAAGGTGCAACTCTTATTCAATATTGATACTGTATGCCATGCGTTACAGCACGTATTATATCGCGACACTAGGTCACGCTAGACAAGGTTACACACATCAAAGCAGCCTTAAACGCACAATTCACTTTATTCTGGGTTGCCTTTCCATAAGTAAAGTCATACGCGTAACAAGTCGTGATCATACACATAACACTATGCTGCGCATAATTTGATAAGTGCAACCAACTGCGTAACACAGTAACTGCCATAGTCGACAACAACATTGACATTCATTCTATTGAAATATCTTTATGCAATCGATATTAATCACCTTTTAAAATTGATTTTATTTGAAGCTGGGAATATTTTCCACATGACCATGCAAGATCGCGTGCTTACCGGTGGGGGGAAGATGGCATATTAGGGATATGTGACAGGCAATGCAGACTATGCTTCTCGCTTGGATTATGGAACGAAAAAGATGCTATTTTGAAAGAGAGGTTATTTGGTTTAACAGGATCACAAGGCAACCATGGTGAAGACGTTAAGGAATTATACTATTACCTAGATTCGACACCAACCCATTCCTATATGAAAGGTTTATACAAGTATCCTCAATCAGGTATAAGTAAATACAGTACATTGTGGCAATTATTTGCGATCCAAATTACACTTTAGTATACTGTAGTTATGCAGCATTCTTCAGGGATTCTGCTGATATATTTTTTTTACTTCAATCTTGTACAATATGAGGAAAAATTTAGGCTTTGCATTATCGCTAGAACTTCTATGCCTCCATACCTTATTTTATAAATTCAACACATATGCGAGAATATACTGTACAGCTTAACGGGAATGTTAATTATAATCTGTGTACTGATGATGTAGGTTAGCATCAATAAGTAAAATGTTCAACCATGGTCGTAGCATCGACCATTAACTAAGAATCAAAGCTATTGCATATAAAAGCGTTATATAAATTGTATATACTGTATACGCACATGTCATGTATAAGTCGGCTACTTAGCGATATGATAGAACTATAGTGTATGGCGTATTAGCACAGTAGATCGATTTATAGTATAGGTTAATATATCACGCAACATAACAACCCTTTCGATAGGATTAACAAGAGACAATTACTCGCGTACCATAGACTTATGTAGTATACAATGGTATATCGTAGTTGGGCGATATATAGGTAAATCAATCGCATGAAATGAGCAGAGATCCTTATTGCGTGATATCCATAAAGCTACCAGATGCCCTCTTTTTGTTACACAAATAGTATAGCACAGAGAGTAATGCAATGAAAGTTTTCCCCAACATTTATCAGTATCATAAATATTAAACGATGATGTCAACTATTTTATATCTTCTCCGTCGTATCAAGAATATCCTTACGCCGAACTGGAAAGAGTTAATCGGGAATCGTCAATTATGGAACCAGAATACGAGTTAGAAGATACTAAAGTTTTTGACGATTCTGCCTATTGGGATGTCTTTGCCGAATATGCAAAAGCGTCACCCAACGATATCTTAATTCGTATAACAGTAGCAAACCGAGCTAAGAAAGCGAATCGTATCCATTTACTACCAACTCTATGGTATAGAAATACATGGATATGGGGTTGCAAACATGAAGGCTGCTCTGCAAAGCCAAAGATAAAAAAAATGGGTTAGATAAATACGTCAAAGATTATTCTAAGTTAAATTACTCATAATTATGCTACAGTATCATACTGAGTAGTTACGACACGTGTCAAATTAAAATGATACGCCTTTGATTGAATTTAGCCTTATTTCATGGTAATAACAGGTTCGAATCATGTTACTTGCAAGCATGAATCTTTGGAGGATTTTATTTTTACAGCCGATGAAAGCTCTAATGGGTGCTCCCCTACGATGCTGTTTACAGAAAACGAAACCAATACTAGAAGACTTTATAACGTAGATAATTATACACCTTATACTAAAGATGCCTTCCATCGATATATCATCAATAATGACAAAGATGCAGTTAGTCCTAAAGAAAGAGGCACAAAAATTGCTGCATATTATGTATTAGATGTTGCCGCAGGTTAATTTATTACATTAAATTATTATGAAACGTCAGATAGCGATAACAACTTTTTGTAGGCACTTTATTATTAAGATACTATTCGATTTTGTAAATAATTTAGAATCGGAAGTTACTGTATACTGCCGCTTGCATTCACAAAAAGAGAGCCCTGCAAAGCCATTTGGGCCTGAATTTGAGAAGATATTTACTCAAAGAATTCTAGAAGCTGATAGATTTTATAATGCAATACAGTTAAATCTCAATTATGAAAACAAACTAATATCTCGACAAGCCTTTGCTGGCTTACTCTGGAGTAAGCAATTTTATCACATTGTTATTGATGTAGGTCTGCTGTTATTAAACAATTTTTACATTCACAATAATATTCTTATTTTTTTAATTATTGATAATAGTTGCATGATCATCGTAATATATCCAGCGTAATACTTAAATTTGTGAAATAGGATTGGCTACATGGAGATACCGCCAATCCTCCCCCTCCTGCATCGCGATTACAAGGTCGTAACAATTCGTGGAAACATTTATTTAATCGTGATGTAATATCTATGCCAGATAAATGGGAATATCCATGGGTAAAGGATTATTAAATACTCTATAGTACGATTTTAAATTACTCTTTAACTTCTGCATGAAGTTAAAAATTTAACGTATTCGTTAATAATGAAAGTCTTCGATTTTTGTATATCTTAGTATGCTTCTTGGGATTTAGCTTTTCATATGGTACCACTCGCTAGAATTGACCCATGTTTTGCTAAAGATCAACTATTGCTCTTTTTACGTGAATGGTATATGGCTCCAAATGGTCAAATACCTGCATATGAATTTGCATTCGATGATGTCAATCCTCCAGTTCATGCCTGGGCAGTATGGCGGGTATTTAAGTTAGCTAGTAGCAGAAGTAATCGAGATCATCACTTTTTAGCTCGATGCTTTCAAAAGTTGGTCATCAATTTCACATGGTAATATTTATTTTGTCAGTAATCGCTATAAAATTTTCAATTAATCATGATCTTTAGTATATCAGTATACCAATGTAAACCTGCAATTCTTTCCTGACGAAGAAAGTAGCAATTAAATTCTGATCCTATGTAAATAAAAATAATTACATACGGTAATATAGGTGGGTTAATAGGAAAGATCCCAATGGTCAAAACATATTTTCTGGAGGATTTCTAGGTTTAGATAATATAGGTTAGTGATTACAGCAGTATTCCGCAAAGACGTCTTTTCTTTATCATCACGTAATTTTGATATACTGTAAAAAAATTATATCCTTACTGATTAGCTAATTAAATATATTAAAATTATAGGAATTTTTGATAGATCAAAACCTCTACCCACCGGAGGATATCTGGAACAAGTAATAATACTTTCGTATACTTCATAAAATTTTTCATACACCTATATATTCTAAGTAGCATGTATACGAAATTTTATCAGGCAGATGGAACTGCTTGGATGGCTTTTTATGCCGTCTGTATGCTGGATATTGCGTTAGAGCTAGCGCAAACTGATATCGCTTATGAAGATATGGCTTCGAAATTTTTTGAACATTTTGTTGCGATCGTGGATGCTATTAATACAATGGGAGGGTCAGGCCTTTGGGACGAAACTGATGGGTTTTATTACGATAGAATACGTTGTGAAAATGGTCAAAGTGTCCCCTTAAAGATTCGTTCGATGGTAGGATTAGTACCACTCTTTAGCTGTTTAATCCTCAACAGTGAGATGTTAAATAAACTACCAGGATTCTCAAAGCGCTTAGACTGGTTCTTAAAATATAGGCAAGATTTAGCGTCTCAGGTAACTGCCACAAAATTATCAATAATTATTATTGATTCGGAACAAACTGTCGCTACTCACTAATTTAGTAATGCTAAACCTGGCTTAAATTACAGATTGCTTACATGAATAGCGATTCGCATGAAGTTTATCGACTATTAGCTATTCCTTCTGAAAATAAACTGCGTAGGGTATTGCGCTACGTATTTGATGAAAATGAGTTTTTATCACCTTATGGTATTAGATCATTATCCAAAGTAAGCGACTGCCATTACATATGATTGACTCGTAGATGTCTTTAAAGCTGGATTGAACTTAGACATTAATTTATCAAATTTGATAGATATTCGACTTATTTTATTAATTAGATCCACGAAAAACACCCATTCGTCTTCAATTACTACGGCAATAGTAATTGTGTCAGGTATGTGCCAGGCGAATCCAACACTTACCTTTTCGGTGGCAATAGCAACTGGCGCGGTCCAATCTGGTTAAACAGTACGTATCAAAGTGTGATTATTGGACTTTGCCGTTCCTACAATTTATACAAAGTGCTTTTCTGTCGTGTAATACACATGACAAAATACTGTAGCTTGCAAATTGTTACAAGTATCTCCTATCCACAAATACGGGTAGCATTAGTATTGATCGTAGAATTGAGCCATAAAAAAATTTTTGAACGGATTTAATATACGCTATGTAAGGTAATTAATGAATCTAATTCGAACTACTTTAATTTGAACTTTGCTGTGCCATTGTATTTTACTCGTACGAATGAGTTAAATAGATCTACAGTAAACTGTCAATACGATCATTTGTAATTAGTATATTAGGCTGTTTCATGTATGTCTACATGAATGTGCATTTAAGATTTTAGTTATTAAGGCTTTATATTCTGATTGGTAAAGTACAGATTAAAATATAGCCAGTAAAAAGGTAAATGCTTGCACTTTTCGTAAAATTACAAGAAGCATATCATTACCATGGGAGCATATTTACTGATAATCTGAGAATATATGTTATTGCATAATGCACGAAAACATCAACTTTTGCTTTAAATGAATTCGTTGATATACTAGGTTAAAAACTGTATTATTGTATTTCTTACAGTGAATTTCCTGATAATGGAAACTCTTGAGCGATACGATCATTACTATGGTGATTCATTCACTATCGAATTTCCAACAAATTCTGGTAACAAGATGACATTAAGAGATGCCAGCTTTCAAATTGCTAAGCGCTTGTGCAAACTGTTCATAACTGATGAATTTGCCAAACGACCGTGTCATGGAGACAGTTCACTGTACCAACATGATCCAAATTTCAGGGATCTTGTGCTCTTTTATGAATATTTTCATGGAGACACAGGTCGAGGTTGTGGAGCAAGGTAATAAATAAGTCGAAACAATCAACAAATTTCACAGTTATTTATGTAACACTAATTGACCCTTTCTGAGTGATTAACAAAAAATTTTATTAATTTTTAATCAGTCATCAAACAGGTTGGACCGGAGTAATAGCCACATGCATTCTTAAATATTGTCAGGAAAGGTCAGGCTAGCCTATCCATAAACATTATGTGAGACTATTATCGCAGAGTACGATTTTACATGTAGAAACATTTTACTAGCCGCAAATACGGTTATTTTATTTGCGTTAAGATGCGTAAGAGTAGCCTCTAATGAGATTCTTATTTTCTTGCTATATTAAACAGCAGTATCGGTATAAAAAAGAAATAAATATAACAATATGGTGTCAAATGAAATAAAGTCGACAATAGAAATTTTACTAAATACTCGTATGTTTAAAACATTTATCGTGACACTGTACAATATCGACATTTACAATTATAGAAATTTTAAATGAGTTTCGGTGAATAGCAAAAAACTAGCATATGCTACTATACAAGTAGATAGAGGACACATTAGTTAGTGTTTAGAATGGCGTAAGCGCATGCTATGTGATGGCTGCTTAAGCTGTTTATTTTGAGATTCATCATCGTCGTCATCATCAACGTCAGCGTCGTCAATGTCATCGTCGTCATCATCTGAATCACCCGATCCCTCTTGTTCTTCATCTTCTGGCGGCTTACCTGCCGATAGTTCGCTACTCACAGGCAATGGCTCTCTTGATATTTGCTGTACAGTCGTTTGCTTATGTTGTGGCGAAGGCGTTTGTAATGGCTGCCGCTGCTGAGTTTGTTGAGACTGTGAAGACAATGGCGTTTTTGACTGAAGCTTTTGCAGCTGCAACTGCTGAATTTTGATTATCTGAGCGCTATTTTGAGAGCTTTGCACCTGTGATTGCTTCAATAACTGTTGCTGTTTTAACTGACTGTGATGTTGAGGTATATTCTGTTGAGAAATACGCATACTTGTAATCGGAAGCTGCCCAGCTTGTGATTGCGATCTTCCACCTTGTTGTGTAAATGCAGTTAATTGCTGCGATAATCCCGCTTTATGTTGCGCTTGAATTTTTTGAGCTTGTTTCACTGCGGCAGCTGCGGCAATTGCAGCTGACGATGGTTGCGTTTTCGGGGGCTGCCCTTGTTGGAGTTTTTGCTGTAGTATCGGTGTTTGTGGCCTTTTAGTCGGGGGATCTGGCAATGGCTGTGAAGTCATTTGCTTAGCTTGTAATTGTTGCTGCACGGTCGGAGACTGCATAGCTTTCTCTCGTAGGAGTCTTAACTGAGCTGGGGTATACTTCTGCATAAGTTGCGTTTGAGCAGCTGAACCTATGAGTCAGAGTAAAAGAACACAATTTAACAAGAAAACCACAAGACAGGCTTAATCTAATGATGGCTATAAACGTTAACCTCTGTTACTGCCAGGAACTTGTATTGATCTTCCAACCTATGATAAAATTTATGTGTCCATTAATTAATTAAGCGCTATTTAGGCATTGTCAGATGATTCAACAAGGGTGACTGCTAACAATAACAATTTATAAAACTATCGGTGCATTTAGTAGCTACCTGTTGTGATGTTGCCGCAATTGGGATAGTTGTCAAGACAGAGCGACCGGTAACAGTAGTTACAGTCGTAGTAACTTGCCCTTTTCCTATGACTTGATGAGATTGTTGAGCTGAGCTAGCCTAAATAGAAGATAAAATCAATCACACGCAGGTCAAATATCGAATTTAAATACTCTTTCCCTACAGTGGTTTTATGTTGTGTTGATGCAACCGTAGTTGAAGCAGGATGAGATTGCTGAATTATAGTTGTGTTTACTCTTCCTCCAGAACTAGCCGTAATATTCGCTGTAGTGGCTATAAAGTAAGCAATATTACGTAAATAAGATTTTTAAATTGAGTGATGTTGCGCTAAATCATTGTAATATGGTAAAAAATATACCTTTTACTTGGCTATTTAAAGTGGTTGTTGTTAGTGATATAGGCCTAATGGTAGCAGTCGAAGCCTGCAAAAATAACATCATTTATTATTTTGATACAATTTGGGCAATTAATTGCTGTACTTAAATTATAAGCTATCTTTGTTCATCTATCAACAATCTATGTTCACAAATTAATCCAATAGCGAGTGAGATTCGATGCATGTAAACATACAGTTGTAGCACCAAGATTTGAACTCCATGATGGTTGCTGCGAAGTTTGTTGTGAGTGTGATAATTGCTGCTGTTGAACCTACAAATAAAAATTATTTCAGTTTAGTGACCCTTGGTGTGTATATAAAGTTATAAACTGCTACTACGATAGTATAAAAACTATTTTAAGTTACCTTTTCTTTCGTAAGCCGTTCAACTCTTTTAGCTGCTAGTTGTATAGGCGTTATTGTGCTCGTGGTAGTAACACTACCAATTAATCAATGTAGAATGAGTTATAAGATATATATAGCCAACAATGAGTTAAAAATTGCGATACCAACCTTTTCTTTAATGATTCGATATGTTTAGAATTTTTATGATGCGAAATGACAAGCCTACCGTGATTAAAGTTTATTAAAACATTATTCATTAATCATTCAACGATTAAAATCTGTAAGCGAAATAAAACATGCTAAAATGCTTTACTTACATCTGTCGTAATGTTGGTTTCCTCTTATTACCAATTCGCTTTACCATATCAAAAACTCCATTATATCCACCAACTTGAGTCCGCCCCTTATCCTGAGATATCAATTGATGTGTCTGTAAGCCTTTATTCACTTTTACCTAGAATACCCAATTTTTTAATCATTAAATATCATTGCATCAAATAGAATTCAATAATCCAAAGAAATTAAGCAAGTAAAACCGTGCCATTCTTATCATTACTTTGATTTTATTTTTGGATTTTTTCGCTGGCTCAGCCGCAATCTAATTTCAATATGTTAAAGATTATGTCTACAATAAATAATTTTTCCATATGCAACTTGCTATATGCATACCTTGCCCTCTTCCCGTTGCTGAAGAGTGTTGAAGAAACGTTCACGGCACTGAATATAAAACAAATTCCGATGAAACAGAAATATACAACTAGAAATTCATAATTCTACATACATTATTTTATATTACCTGCCGCGGAGATCTGTAAATCTGACCAGATGAACTGACAACATTACTAATGAGATCCCAATTGATGTTATGGGCAGGATACGAAACAGTTAAACTGAGTGGAAGGTCTAGGATAGTACGTATCGCCTGCGTAGCAATTTAAAATTAATAAAGATGACTTTGAAGGTAATGGATACCAAAATGAATTACAATAACCTGCAGTAACGCCCAATCATCAGCAATAGCCCAATCGGGAAATGGCTAAAGCAAAAAAGCGAAATTTACCACACATTTAAAGTGGCAATATTGAGTAAAAAGATTTTTCTATTACCTTGGTTTCTGTCTGTCTTACATTCAGAGGTAATGGTGGTTTATTTAACTTTCCTTTAACTTTCCTACTCACGTATCGATTATCTCCACCAGTCACATATTTACGATCAAACAATGAACGCGGTGGGCGAATATAGTCTCTAATAAGTTGAAGAAGTTTACGTTTATAAATCTAAATCTTGATAAACTCGGTAGTAAGGAGTAAGCCTATACAAACCTTTGATCCTTCTTTCTCATCCTTGTATCTGCAATTGATACAATTAAACTTCTAACTCCACTAATTTACGACAATAGCATGTAATTATAAATACCGAATGTAATTACACTACCAACCGAAGAAAGATTGCTTTTTCTTAATACCGAATGCATCGAATTCATGTTTTCTAAAATGTTCGATATATACGAGTAAATATTTAATGTGTTGTGTATCACTTAAAAAAGCTAGTATCTCTGATAGTGCTGATCTGCATCAACCTGATAAATTCACTAACCTGGCATTATGCGGTGGTGGTTGATCAGATTCAGATAATGTAGAATTTTGATATCCTCTTAATCGCTCGTTTAGCGTGCTACCGTTATCATCAGCATCATCTGGTGGTGTTGGTGGCATCCATGTCAACAACTTCAAATGAAAGAATAATCCGTGTTAGCTTCTACATCATATATTACCCAATTAAAATCTTATGACATGCATACAGCCGGATACAGTAGTATCATTTGTACAAGCTGTCATGTACATTTCCATGTACAGTACTAAGTATCACGGATTTCGTCATTCATGGTATCGATCTTTTAACTCTATTGGGTGGTGCGGGCAAGCGTAGACGGTGCTGGTGAGGTACAACAATTTTAAATAAAACTGTTTAGACATACGCTAGCCCACCCACCCTTTTATTTAAACTGATTTATATTCTATTATTACATTACAACATTCAGTTAGAGACTCAATGTAAAACTACGCGTATGATATGTAAAGGCACACCAACACCACCAGTAAGCTTGACCCTTTACCCAAAGAGCATGAAACCAATACACAAGTGAATGATGAATCCAGACTTCATTAATATAAAATTTTTTTAATAAGTCAAGAAGCAACCTTATCAGGCTATAACGAGAACATCATTTTTACAAAGATGTCATTTGAAATTTCATATGTCGCTATTTCACAACAATTAAACGGACTAAGAAATGTAACTTGTAAGATCTTTTGAAGATTCTATATACAAAATGTTCATAAAGTAGCACTGCTGACTTCAACTTGATAAAAAATTTTTAAATTTCCTTAATAAGGAACTTGCCCAAGCAATTATTAGTAAAGATTTAAAAACATTGTATTGCGAATAAACTATGTACAGTTAATAATGAAACGTTTCCACCTGGAGTGTTAACGTATGGTTGTTTAGCGCTGTGAGATAATAAATATTTCTAATACCAATCTATTAGTTCAGGATTTTAGTGCTAATTATTTATAGATCTTTTCCTAGATAACTTTACTGACGATTTTTGCACGTTGTATACATGATCCGTGCTTACAACTCTTTTACGATTGGTACGGTTAATAACCTGATTATTGCTGAGCTCCGACGCGAAAATTAGATCATTTGCTTCTTCGCTTGAACTTCTATTAACATCCTGTAATGCTGCTTTATGTGTAATTTCCCATTCTTTCTTAGCAATGGCTACAGCTTGCTGCATAATGATGGTAGTAATAAACATATACATATGTATTTACACACCTTTGAAATATAAAAAGGAATTAGATTGCTGAAACTAACCTCAGCCGCTTGTATCCGCTGCTTCGTTTCCGCAGTCAACGATTTTTCAAGGAAGTTTACAGCGTACTTTTCAATAGGGTTGAGCTAGATGATTTTGATATTCTCAGCAATTACGTAAACTTAACGAGTGATAAATTAGGTACTTACTTGACTTTGTAACGTAACAAACTCTTCTTCTAATTTTAGCGTTTCTTCATCTTCAGAAACAGATCTCGTTGTTGCACCCTGATGCAAAGAATAGTTATAAATTATTCCACGTTCTCCGGCAGAATACTTTTTAGACATTATCAACTTACATCTGTATCCAATGGGACACTTTCATTAAATTCTGCAAGATCAGCCGCTTGCTCTACTCTAGCCTGTGTCGCAGCTTGAGCATCCACTTTATCCTCCGCTAGCAACAGAGCCTACGAAAAGGTTGTAAATTTTAGGTCGTATCATTGAAGTCACGTCATAATTTACTAAAATTATTGCGAACATAATAGTACTGTACATATACTGCACTATAGGTATATCCACGAAATAGAACTAAACACAAGTGTTTGTATGCTTAGCATTTGTATCCTATGGAAAATATCTTATTTCTGCCTGAAGCCAAAATCCGACAGTCAATTGACGTGGCTGTTAGGTTGGTAATACAGGCAAATACCGATAACGTCGGGAAACATTTAAAATACCGTAAAGATAAAAGAAGGTTTTGGTACCTGTTCGAATTCAGTTTGAGTGAAATGATTTTTTGATAACTCTTTAGAAACGGCTACTTCTTCTTCTATATCTTCAATAGTGGCCAAAGACTGTTTGTTTTGAGTTGGCTGATCTACGCTGAAAAGCTCTTGAATATGGTCCTATTTCGAGAAGGAATAAATGAAGCAAGGATGTAGAAAGGGGATTAATTAACAAATAAAACTGCAGCAAAGTATAATTTCGCCTACCTTCTTTAAGAAGGCAGTATTAAAATTGCCTTCCTCGATCGCAACACCTCCCAAGAGTCGTTTCTGGTTCGCTTTCTTTAATATATTCTCTTCGATAGTAAATTCGGATATCAGTCTAAGTAATTTTAAAATTATTTTCCTCAGAATCTTTTCACAATAAAGGTTCACATCGTATTACTTTTTATCATATATACCCGAAAGTATATATTTAAGTAACAGTTTCCAAAATTGTATAATGTTAATAGTAATATAATCTTTACCGATAGATATGAACATCACGTGTCTGCCCAATTCGATGGCACCGATCCTGTGCTTGCGCATCCATGGTCGGATTCCAGTCGCTATCATAAAATACCACTGTATCCGCACCGGTTAGATTAACACCTAATCCCCCACTCCGAGTGGATAACACGAAGCAGAAAACGCGCTTGTCATTGTTGAAACGCTCTGTCAGCATCTAAAGTAACAATAGATATCCAAGATTATTAAAATTGTTCATTAGGGAAATTTATACGGGATGTTTACGAAAATCTTACCTGGCGACGCTCTACAGGTGTTGCACCGTCCAGCCTTAAATATACATGACCGTGAAAATTCAGAAATTTTTCAAGAATATCTAGCATCTTCGTCATTTGAGTGAAAATTAAAACTCTAAAATATAAACATATAAGACAGAAATATATAAAATAAAATTACTTCCAGAATAAACAACATTATTAATTCTAATACTACATACCTATGCCCTTTCGCTTTTAAGTCGTGCAATAATATATCTAATGCCTGCAATTTTCCTATAATAAAATGTAAAAATATGAACAAAATCAGTCAACTAAAAATGGTTGTAATATAATTAAGGTAGACATACCACAATCGTATTGAATTAGCCTTCTGTCAGGAAAATTGAAACACTGACGGGTAGCTGATGTATGCAAATCCAAGCAAGGCTTTCTGAGATCCGATTTTAAAATTTCAATTCGTCGACTTTCTTTAGTCAAATAGGATGGCGCCGGATGGCTAGCATGTAATTCAATGGGTGGCACACACACAACTGGCGTGTACATCGTAAACCTATTTTTTTAATATAATACTGCAATCAGTAACCCAATATCGCATAAAGTTAGTGGCATGATATCGTAAATCGACCTGTTCATGGTTCCTTGAAGATGAGTCAACATTGTTTCCCGTACATTTAACGTAGCTATTAAAGTGTTAGTGTAATCCCAGAATAAAGAACCATCTATACTTTTCGGATGATTGGAATACGTACAATGAGTCCATTGCTTTGATTTACTATTATCATATTTCGTACATTCCCGCAACGTAGCTACTAATTCACTGCCTATAATTGGATGCATTCCACAAGAGCGAGCATTTATTCTAGCGATGCGATGTAACTTGTCTTTTCTCTGCTTATCGCGTTTGGCGCTTAATTCAGCCTATGCATTCATGAAAAATCAGTAATCAGTTAATCGGTTACCTTTCTACATGTCATTCAATTATAAAGTCAATAGCAACGATTAAATATGAATATCTTACATCTTTAAATATATCTTTCAGTAAGTTATAAGTGTTTTTATTAACCCCTTCATTGCTTTTACCGGCCACCGTCTAAGTATATAGAAAGAAATATATCATTTACGGAAAAAATTATCAGTAAATATCCCTACACCTATACTTCATGTTTATTGTAAGGAATTTCTTATTACAGATATTAATAATTAGATCAACGTCAACAACTAATGCATGATGATAACATAAGATTGACTGTGGGTATGTTTAACATCTCAATACGATACTTTAATGTCTTAAAAGAATAATGTAATAATACATTGAAATGTCTGCATATAATGTTAAAATGTGTATTACCACCTGAGAGTTGTCATGAGTTTCTGTATCTATCGCTGCATAACCAGGTGGTAAAAATTCCGGACTTATAGATAGCACTGGTGATACTAAACTCGGTGCCAGTGATTGCGGTCTAGGTAGTTCTTTAAAGGCTATCTCAGATTGAGTCATATAAATCTGATGCATTGGTATATGCTTTTTATCATATTTAATTTTATGTAATTTTTCTAAGAATTCGTTCTTCTTTACTGGCCTCAGGTACCCAAATTGAACGGGTTGCACATCTTCATCAAAGAGTTCATTTTCTATATTAATTTTAGGTGTTTGCAAATGATACCCTCGTGTTGTGGCTAAGCTATCAGTTGTAAAATCCAAATGTGTAAAACATAAACCTATACTCTGTAAATCTATTCGATCGAAGTACCCATATTCCAGTGCATTTACAACCAAAGACGCGGTTATGAAACAAATACCTTCCATTATTAACGGTGAAACTACCGGTCGTACTTCAAATAAATCTGGATGATTACATACCTTGCGTAACTGCATTAATACATTAATTACACTTAAAAATTGACCTGAAGCAAGTGTTTCCTTCGTTTTTGTTCGAGACATGTAATCATCATACAAAAATTTCTGCCTTCTCGATAACTTACACCTTACTACATGTTCATATTTCTTAGGTAACTGTTTTTCAACCTCTCGTTTCAATCGGCGTAATAAAAATGGTCTTAATACTTTATGTAATCGATTAATAATATCTTCATTATATTCCTGACTGCCTTCGATCATCCCTGTCAACGGATTCGAAAACCAATCTTTAAAATCCTTATGTGAGGAAAATACGTTCGGCATCAGAAAATGCATTAGTGACCATAATTCCATTAAATTATTCTGTAACGGCGTTCCAGTTAGTAATAATCGATTTCTACTATTAAAATTTAATAGCTTTTGCCATCGTTTAGATTTAAAATTTTTTATATTATGTGCTTCATCCAACACCAAATATTGCCATCTCATTCTTCTAAATGAGGAATGATCTTGCAAAACTAATTTATATGACGTAATGCAAACATGGAAGGCGTTTACTTTCGTCCATCCTTGACGTTTTTGCTTTCTTTCCTTTACGCTTCCATAGTAAGTCAATATTTTAAAGGCAGGGCACCATTTCTTCAGTTCCATTTCCCAATTTAACATTACACTGGTTGGTACTATGATTAAATGGGGACCCCAGCAAGATTGTTCACAAGCAAGATGAGCTAGTAAAGCGATAGTTTGAATAGTCTTTCCTAATCCCATTTCATCAGCTAATATTCCATTTAAGTGACTCTTATCCATAGCAACTAGCCAATCTAAACCAACATGCTGATATTCACGAAGTTGGTGTTTTAAAAGGAATGGAACTGGAGTTTTAACCTAAAATTCGTTAATAAGAATAGAATGAATACAAGATTCTAAATATGAGCGCAACGTCTTTTGATAGACATGAAATAGATTCTTCTGACACTAACTGTTGTTGTAGAGAGGGTGTAACCAGTAGGTTGAAAACTTTTGGCCTCTTCAGAAACCTCAGTTAGTTCCATTTTATAATCTCTTGAATCAGCTTTTTCCTGTAATTAAAGAATTAAATGATAAATTTTCTTTCTTGACCTAAAAGGTATTTTAATTATGCAATATAATATATCGATTATAATACGTTAGGCTGTACATAATACATGTATGAGAACAGTAAAACAATGTAACCTCAGACAGGTACCGATAATACATGATAGAAACATGTCATCGGTGTTTAATTAAGGTAGATACTTTTGGCCATTTCAAATTACCGAAGTAGATATATTACTACACAGCATTGGATTAATGGCCATAAAACGTGAATACTGCATTATTTACTCTTGTTAGTAACTAACCTGATCGGACGCTTCTTCATTCTCAATTAGAAATTTTGTACCTTCCAAACTAGAAGATTCATCACTTTCAAAAGCGGACTCATCTGCAATCATTTCATCAGGTTATGAGACAGTGCGTATAAAATAATAGTAGAAAGATATAATATAATAAAGTCATACCGCTACTACCATCATCGTCGTCATCTCTGCCAGCAGAAATGTCTGAAACATCAGATGAGGAAGTGCAAGGAGCTGTGCCGCCGTACATTTTTAACAGATCATCTAAAGACATTTCACCTAAGAATCAAAAATTTAAAGATACATTAGATAAAATATTTTATCATTTGTAAAAATAGCACATACTATTACAGAAATAAACGATAAACCCTGGTGAATTTTAATTAAAAAATTATGTCCTAATAATACAACGTGGCCAGACCACTACTATTCTGAGAAATCATACATATATATATATACTGTACATACTGGATATTGTCTAAACTTACAATCTTTCTTTAGTTCTTCAATTTCAGATTTATGATCAACGTTTCCTGATTCGTGATTTTCTTGCTCTTCCAATGTCATTTCATCATCGTCTTCTTCCTGATCAGAGGTAGCAAAATCGTCATCATTTTGACAATCCTCAGATTCGGGCTCGGCAAGTGAATTCTACGATTGAAATACTAAACGTTACAAAATAGTACATAAATGAACAGGGTAGAAAGATGTGTATAAGGTCGTTGATCGTTACATTATCAGTTTCATCTTCTGAATCCGAGTTTTCGGAGGTTTTTTTGTCATCCTGGAAGGCTTCCAAAGGCAAACTCTTAATTAGATCTTCTAACGGCAATTCGCTTTCCCTTTTTAACATTTCAATTTCATTTTCGTAGTCCTTACCACCCTAATCAGAAGTTGATATTTTAAACTCTGCAATAATTTCTTTTCTTCTATTTTTTTTTATAGCGTTTCCAATTCAGTAGTGTATAATATGATTGAAAGTTCTTACAGATTTCATCAGACGCTCTTCTTGTTCAATTGTTATCTCATCATCGCTTTCATGTACTGGCTTAAAATCCGCATCGTCTATACGATAATATATTGTTGTCATTGTCAACATTTACATCGAATATTATACAACCAAACTGCATCATCATAATACAGTATAATGTTTCATTGTTAGAGTATACATACCTTGATTTTTCACAATTTCACTTGTGTTTGGCTTACTACTGTATAAGCCTTTCATTAGCCAGGAAGAATATCTTTCTGTCTGGCCAACAATTAACTTTAAATGTAAGTCACGCGCCTTCTTCTTCTTAACTTCGATCTTACATCGAATTTTGTACTGAACCAACTATGTATCCAATTTTAATGTTATGTTAATACCAAAGTACAAGCATTGCCATTATTCAATACAATACTAGAAATGCTACCTTGTCGATTTGAGACCAAAACTGCTTCACTTCCTTTGCAAGTGTTGTGGCTATACGTCTAAGACGTTGTTGCTCTTCTTTCTTAGCGCGTTGCTTCTTCATTTCCTTATCTTGATGAAACTTTAACACACCTCGACATATCTAGATATTAAAAAAAACCAATCAAGTAACTTTGGTAGAATGATTACAAACACAATTGGATGGCTACCTTTCGAAGCATGTTTAATTTCCATTTTTTCTCTTGGATAAAGTCATTTGAAAGCCATAACATTTCCTCCATTAAATAATTATGGTGGCATTTGTTGACCGGCAATAGACTAGCCCTTGGTAAGCGATTAGCTGACCATAAACCTTGCTTTTTTAGTTCATCAATTCGATGTAGTATATCTACTTCCTTTTTAGCTTTCATAGCAATGTCGTCGGAACGCTGTGCTACTGAAGTAAAATCATTGCAGACGAAAATGGAATATTAGCGATTCTACTTTATTTCAACGGAAATTGAAAGTGTACTTTATTATTTCTAGCATGTTGATATCTAGTTGATTCCTCTTTCTTTACCCTACCTAAATCACTGGTTTCGGAAGGTGATAATTCAGACTTGAATTTGGTCTCCGATGGGAGAGATTTAGGTAACGGCGACGTCAAACCGTTGGCACTGTCACGCCTTTCAGCTATTTGATTATTATTACTAGGTTGATCTAAATCCTGTAATTTGTTGTCATCTCCGTCAGTAGGAGTCGTACTGATAGAATTGCTGCTTTGGGATTCGATACTGATTGGAGTGTAGGTTACAGTAACAGTATTGGTGGTAGGTGAAAGCATTGATGATGTTGTACTAGCAAATTCATTGGCTTTTAAAAAAGCCGCTAACTGTTCATTAGGTCGTCTTTTCCAAGCAAGATAATCCATCATATTTCCCCCACCCTGTAAGAAGAACAATTCCTGCAACCGACTATTGAAGACAGCTTTAATTTTCTCCATTTCAGATTTTCGAAATTCAAGGATCAATTGTCTCAATTGCATTGTATCTTGAGGCATGTTCGCAGTCGACTTATCACTTGTGGTGGATGGCATTAGCTGGCTGATTTCAGTGGTTATTTCATTTTTAGCTGGCTCTTTGAAATCAGTTGGCCGGTTGTCTTTATTTGACGCATTGCTCTCACCTATTGATTGTATCATAGTTATTTCGATTAATCATTGATTTTAGTCTTGCTTTGTTAGACTAGGATATTTATAAATGGATGGCTTGTAGAATTTATAGTATACAGTACAGTCCTACATGTAGAATGCTATATTCTTTATCAATGCTGTTGTGTCTATTGATTATTATTTTGATGCAGCACTGCCTGGTAAGTATGGTGATCCAATATACACACGTTGCTTAGTGATCGTTTCAACCGATCAATACAGTACAGTTAGGACGTCATTTCAAGGAAGCAAAAAATCGTTTTTTGCTTGGAAATACGACGACGAAAGTCGTTGTAGCAAATTGATTTCGATAGCTGACTTAAGTGGATGTGCGTCCACCTCCATGCTAATAAGACTTCCTTGTCGACTTGAATGCCGCCGCTATTAGCAGAGTTACGGATGGTCACCGAGTTGGATGGACTACCAGACAGAAGTACTCTGCTACCTGCTGTAGACTGTACCGTTAAAAAATACCCATGTGGCAATGTCGGCCACTGCACTATACTGTATAGTACTGTTACGATTGCCCCATTGCAAGCACACTAGCGTAGCACTGTGAGCGATTTCTGGACGTCTGTCTGTACTGTAACGAATGGCTTCCACTGCAATATCATACCCTAAACAGGACTGCATGCACTATAGTGGTTGTAGTATACAAACACAGTCCCATACTGTGTATTGCCTTTACCGCAAGAGAGTTGCAACAGAAAAAAAAGACTAAAAATGATTTGACCAAAGTTGGAACTGCATCTACTTGTCAGAACGATTTGCTACTACCAATATGAAGGAATTGAAAGAGAGAAAAATTGACCAAGACTATTGAATACATTTACCTGTTTTAACCGCATGAACTTGGCTGTCTTGTTGCTGATCTACTTTAGACGAGCGTTGAGCAAAATTGAACTGTAAAGCGCGCGCATTGCCATCTCCACGATCACTACAGTCGATGGATGCGCTAATAGCAACTTTGATATCGCTTTGTAAGCCAGTTGGAGAGTCATTTTTTTTCTTTTTTCTCTCGCTTTCAATGAGAGAAGTATCATTACTTCTCTTCATTTTGTACTGGTATTCTTTTTCAGGTCGAATTTGGATCATAAAACATGCTCTAAAATGGTCTGTCTCTTTTTTTTTTTTTTTTCTTGTTCAGTTTTTGCAGTTTTCGTTCCGTGCGTGGAGATTGCACGCCAACGCCACACTTTCCTCTATGGTACAGTATGGTCGGGTTGCAGGCGATTGCAACACTACATCGACGGTGGAGTCACACCGCGGTACCACGTACTCCAGTGTGCTCTACCCAAGGGTAGTGTTGAGACTACAGTTGCGGCTCCAGTTAAAACCCACACTTCCACCAAAAGAGAATCCTAGTCTGGCTTGCATCCACTTCCTACCTGGCCTACAGTCTTCCACGTCGTACAGTAATAACTGATCCAACTTCAGACAGGGAGTTTTGACGTTTTTGGCTCAGCTTTTATAGTGTCAAAGAATCTTTTGTCTATCTACGGTACAGTACAGTAGCGACGGTACGATCGTACTGTACCACGATGCACGTGCGCGCGTGGTTCACTCAACTTCACCACACTACGGTACACCACCGGCTGAAATACTGTACTGGCGGGATCCCCCCAGAGTGGTTTCTAGTGTATCGTGCTAGCTTGGTACAACGTACAGTACCAAGCTCTACAGTATATAGTACTGTACTCTTCCATTTGAGTCAAAGGTCGCCTTTTCGGAGTCCATGGTACAGCGCTCTAGATCTATGTGGTACCGTACCGGATCTGGATTGGACGATCTCTAAAACTCGCTTGATTGTCTATAGTCCAATCCGTCCGTCTTTCTATTGACGGTGGAGGACACGTGCACTCTACAGTGCTGTACTGTAAAAGTTACACGTGTAACTAGGAACTGTACTGTACAGTACTATACAGTACAGTGTACAGTACTGTATCTTTGAATTCAGACCTGGGTCCGGATCGGACCAGACCGGACCAGACCTCGACTGTGCTGTACCCTGAGGCTCTGGCTGTACTGTACCTACAGTAGACCGGAGTGTGCTGTACTGTGCAAAAACTTTGAATAGGCCAACTACAAACTCTGTATAGGAGAAGGGTGACATCATTTTTTCTTCAGACTGTACTGTACTGTACAATACTGTACCGTTCTGTACGGTACTGTGCAAACAGAACAGCTCAGAGCTAGAGATGTTCTGCAGACTCCAAAATCGCATCATAACATTGGTAGCCCTTGTCTTCTTCAACCCAATTTGAGCTATCATTCCTTTAAAATTGTATCATCATCTACAACAACAATAAACGATAGAGCAGGACATAATGGTCAAAAGAAATCAACGTTGCAAAGAAACAGCTAGCAACACGGTTAAGAAAAAGCGCACTAGCAAATTGAACCAGATCGAAGATATTCAACTCAAAACCGAGCAAATATTCTCCGATCAGGAGAAGATCAACTTGCTGGTTGATATCTTAGATTATTGCCAGGTGAATTGGTATATCATCCACTGAACTGAATGTAGTCAATCCTTCAATGTAGAGTTAATTTACTACAATTTGCATCGTTAACTTAACCATAGCAAACTGTAATAAGTGTTAATAGGATCAAGAAAATAGCAAGGATGAGTCCTCAGCTGTAATGGGACTTACAGTAGCCATCGTGCATTACCATCAGCAGAAGTACAGTACATCGTATATCAACTTGGATTATAGATTCATTCTACCATAGTTACAAATCATTTAAAATGTCTAGCCAATACAATTCATTGATGCACAACCTTAGTAATAGAGAAGACAAGTATACAGTAATTCTAGATTCTGTAAATAATGAACTCATACTCGGCACTCGAGTTAATATTTGTACACTGCTTGTAGATAAGATTTAAAGGACTGAACATATCGTTTTCATCTTCTTTGCTACAGTCGACTGACCATCGTACTATCGAAGCTGCTGTCCGCGCTCTGGCTAAATTATTTTCTCACTTTGTGGCTAACGGCGACTGTATCAACTCTGAAAATCGTAGCGACGATTCAGAAAACAAGGATGACAGTAAGTATATCATAAATAAAATTGGTATACTTACACGTATTAAACCTTCATCCTTGAAAATTAATCAAATATTCGCTCTTATAACATTGTGAGTAATACTGACACGTATACCGAAGCAAAATGGAGAATCATTCACATCATAAAATCAATCATCACAATTACAAATAAAGATACTGTATTGTAGATCAAATCTGCCATAGGTACTGCAATAGTATTCATTCTTTGATTTCTCTACTAGAGGAAATGATCAACCGAAACTGTTCAAAGATATACTATAACTGGATGCACAAACAATATCTGACATGCCAGCGGTACTTTATTGCTTTGATGCAAGATGCCGACAGCAATATCCAGGTACTTTCGTAAGGCTAGAAAGTTTATAGGATACAGTATTCCATCAAAATTTCGACGGTAGTAGTCATCGAAAATTTACAGTAGGAGAGATTGCCTCTATACTGGTACTCAAACAAGTGAAGCAAAAATGAAAATTCCAATCGATTTACAAATATACTGCTACATAATGCTATCGTTTTAATCAACAAATTTTCTTTCATATTCCTATCATATAGGAACTTGTACTAAACTTCTTGATGACCTTCGTATCCGATGAGTTTAAAGCGAAGCAATCACTTAACCAAGTTAACCACGTATTCGAATTTCCAAACATGCTTTTCTATCGCATTTTAGAGGCTGTAATCTTGAGCGATAAAACAGATGACAAGAGCCTAATTAAAAAATTGAGCTCCTTTTTTAAGTATAGCGATATTACTTATTATACATTAAAAAATATCGGGTGAGTACATTCTATTTTAGAAATATGATGTAATCTACTTCATTAAATTGAGTTCATTTGTAACTATGAGCTACATAATTTGCGAAGAAGTTACCTTAAATTAGTAATCAGAAAAAATATTCAATCTGTGCACGGTGTGGCAACGATATATAGTAATTTATATTCCGAAATGCTAAGTATAATCCTATCTGCACGATTGCAGAACGCTGGCCGCCTTAAAGCTCGATGACGCAAGCAAACCTATTAATGAAACTTTTGTGGAAAATGTATTTTATCTACTCCGTTCAATTAAACTTTACAACTATGACGAAGAGATCTCATCATTTTATTTGGCTACAAGTAACCTTGGTAAGTAGATATAAACTACGTCGACCTATGTGTCTCATTTCACATGACTTTTATTTCCGATTAACTTAGCATCAAATAGACTTTTATATTGACATATGTATCCTGTAATTATACAGAAAATTCAACAAATGATGATTATTACGGTAAATTGAAAGAACTGAAAGAATATAAAAAGGTCTTTAGTAAGGCATGGCTAAATTTTCTTCGTCTCAAGGTATAGTTTAGAAAATCGCTATAAGAGGCATAGTCTGCTTTAGTAATTGCGGATGATTGTTAGGATGTAAAATCTATTTCATTATCTTTACATATTAGTTACCCATGAAAGTCTACAAGAAAGCACTTGCCGTTTTGCATACTGACGTTATTCCAAACATGCTAAACCCCAAATTATTAATAGATTTTTTAACCGATTCTTATAATATAGGTTAGTATTACAGGATTGAATATCTTGTCATATTGATAAATCTATGATAGATTCTGATATATCATTTATTCATTTAGGTGGAACTATTAGCCTGTTGGCTTTAAATGGCTTGTTTATTTTAATTCACCAACATAATCTGTACGTTTCAGTTCATCATGTGTAATGTTAGCTATACTGCTGCTATCATTCTACTACTATTCTGAAATGAATCTAATCAGCTCACTCTATCTTATCTTTTATATCCTAGAGATTATCCTGATTTTTATGCCAAGCTTTATGCCCTAGTGGAAGCCAGCGCATTTGTTGCAAAGTCTAGTGGGAGGTTTTTCTATCTACTAGACCTCTTTTTGACATCAACGTAATGATGGTTTAATAAATTAATTTCTAAGTTTCAAGACTTATATTTAATTTAATGTTTATGGTAAAATAATTGCTCTATATTTTTTATAGTCATCTTCCAGCTTATGTAGTGGCGGCATTTGCTAAAAAGCTGAGCAGAATCGCACTGACTCTTAACCCTGCAAGTAATTGTTTAGTATTCAGAGCTGTAATGTATTAAACATTATGACAAATTACGATTTCGATTTTTTACCTCTCTTGCAGGTGCTATGGTTGCTATAGCCTTCATATGTAATCTGATAAAGCGTCACGATAGCATCAAAATCTTGATTCATCAAAGCTTAAATGGTAAGTATAGAAGAGCAGTTACGATATGCGTAACTCACTAGGATTAATAACTTGCTGTCAGTTCAAAGCTGTATCCGTGCTATTTTATTGTTTAATAAGGAAAACGAAAAGTTTCCATAATTAACATTCTGGTCAAAATTAACCCATCAGAACAGGTTCCAGGTGACCCCTATTTGTTCTATGAGGAAGATCCCGCAAAGTGTAAAGCAATAGAGAGCTCACTATGGGAGCTACAGGTTCATTTTGTGCCTTAAAATCTCCCCGTCTGATCTTAGGATCATAAGTGTCATTAACGTAAAGATATGATTATTAAATTAGGCTCTTATGGACCACTATTATCCTGGTGTTACAAGTTTAACCGAAATATTTAAAAAACCCATCACTCAAACAGAAATTGACATTAGCGAATACACAGACCAAACTCTTAAAATGGTAGAGTAATTTATAACTTATAATCAATTCTTAACAAAAGCATTCGAAATGAGTTATCCATTTAAAACGCCCAGCTTCTAGATAAAGAATTACATTCTGAAATTCCCAAAAATCCGGCCCTGGAATTTAAATCACCTTCTGGAATCATTCCTTCTGGTAGTGAAATTTGGAAATTTTGGTCAAATAGCCAGAAAAAATAAAGTCTTAGAATTGAAGTGCTACATTAGAGCTTGATTACTCATATTATACAGACTATGACTGTTTTATGGCGATTGAAAAATTTGATATTTTATTCTCTAGAATCAAATATTTTGTACGCGACTGTTTATAACATGTTATCATCTTGATATATATTGAAAGTCTGAAATAAATTCAGTTTCAATTTTTACTGTATATTCAAACATTGCATGTACAGTACTACCAAATCTAACTTTCTCTCAATCTGTTACAACATTACAAAGACCATAAAATAAAAATTTGATTAAGTTAAATCTAATACATATAACATGCTTTATAATTTAGAGTGTAATGTACATAGATGCAGTATTTATATTTACATATATTTACATAAGACATTTGGCTAATCTTGATCTTTCTGCAATAATTGATATGGTAGAACTCCTACAAAAACTTTTATCAATTATATTTTGGTAGTATAGATCAAAACCTGCAATAATTAATCATAGTTATCAGTTACTTCACTTTACACATGTAGTGACTTAATGTAAAGAAGAATCCAATTTGAGAATTTGCTGCTCTAGTGATTTTGAGTTATTTCTTGAATTAACTGATCCATGGGCTGCTTAGAATTTGTATCAATTGAATAATATGTATACAGTAATTAGATCGTTCATTTTACCTGTAACCGTACTCTATTAAATGGAATCATCTACAATATTTTTAGACATGAATCACTATACTTGAAACATTACTTTACCTAGCATGACCAATTGATCATATATATCTACATTTAATTACAACAGCAGCAGGGCTCTCTTCTAATCTATACCACATATTGACAATCTATCGCTGGGAGCATTCTTTAGTACGGTTGACGAACTTACCAAAATAGAAATAGTTTTATCTTCCTCCACATCTTGAATAGCGTCATCAGTATCATCAGGATCAACTAAGTACCACTTTGGAAATGATTCTAACCTAATAAAACAATTTCCAGAAAATATGCACAAATTAAAAAAGGATTGATGTAAATTACTAATTAATAAGGCCATCGGAGTAATAACCGTTAGTTCAGGTATACAGTAGTAGAATCCGTCAGTTAATAAACCATTAATATAGACCCTTAATACCTACAATGATTATATCATTTCCAGTACTATTTCAGTATTGCATCTACTCGCACAGCACTTAAGAAATTGTGACGTGAAATACTACGTAGTGAGTAATCGGCTTATGGTTTACGGAGAGGCATCGTACTGACTGTTCTCCCTTCTAATAGCATGCAAATATTGATTACACTATAATTCATAAGTTTACCCAATTAGTTGTGTGTTCTCACATCTACATCAGACATGCTTGCGCATAAATCGTACATACTATTGATAGGGACTTCTAAGAAAATTTTCTCTTAGAAGTTCCTGCCATGGATGCCATCTACTTCATCTGAAGAAAAACGCTATACGAGTACTCGTGTACACATTATTTTATCCAAGAAATACAATACGTCGATGAAAATAACACTGTTCTGATCGATGAAATCTTTATCTACCTCCACTAACACATTTAAACGCTATCGTAAGAACTAGTGGCAACAAATCATAAAAGATCATTGATATACATGTCTATGCAAACAGTATGTCATGTAATAGTATAATCGTCAGCACAGTAAAAGATGCACTATTCAAGTCTTGATGAATGACTGCTGTAGACGAATTCATTTTAGTAAGCAGGCAAAGTTCATGATCTCAACCAAAATGATTCCTTTCTCAAGTTTTGAGCTAAATAGCTTATACTTCATAGACTGCTATCGTGAATGTTACCTTTACTCTCAAGAGATTTAAGCACCGATTGAAGTATTTATCAGCGAACAGAATACATAAAATAAAAATAGAATACAGTAATTAACCGGTACAAAATGAAGAGCGTTTCCATTTCTAAGAATAGTATAGTATCATCTAGAAAGCTTCCCTCAATACCGGTAGCAAACTGTAATTCCATGCGATATTAGTAATCCTATCTACTACACCTATTGATTGAGTAGTTTATAAATTCTGAATATTTGTATTTGATAATGCATGTATTGGATAATTAATAAATATCGACCTTGAAACATCCACCAACACTTACGAATGATCATGGCAAGGGTTTTCATTCGACGATGCATGTGATAATCGATGCCTACTGCTAAAGTCGGACAGGAAATTTTGTATCGTGAATTTTCTCAATTGTAATTCTTTACTGTTTTTACTTTCTACTCGATTGGATTGAACAGTTATATTAGGGTCTATAATTTCCGAAGCATCCAGAAAAGAGGCCATAGTCTAAATTCGATTTGATCGTCACTGAGCTCCAGCTTTTACGAGCTGCTGCAAGCTCCGGACCTACAGCAATATTGTACGCTACCAATAGTGTGCAATGCACGCAGTAGATTTCATACTGTACCCTAGTACCAATGTTAATACATGTACAGTAAGTGACAATTTACCGTTGGCTGTAGCTTAGAGGCTGCCGCCAACCCCACCTAACAGCAAATTATTATGGAGTCTTAAAGTTGATAGAATGCCAATTTTGCCATATATCCTGATTCATATGCCAGATGATTGGCTTAGAAATACTTTTAATATCCAGTATTGATACTAGTATTATCTGGAAAATGAATTCTCGCCATAAATCTTGATGGATAATTGCGATAATTGAACTCAGAAATATCCTAAAATCCTTCCTGTTTGCACATGCATAGCAGCAGAGAGGAAGGGAATTTTATCATTCGCCTTAATGAACATTGGAGTTAACTGGGATTTAGAATTACCAAGATGAATCCCTAATATTTATACGAGTATTCGAAAATTTTGTTGCACGCCTTGATTAGTGTGATCATATACAGTAGTTGAGCTTGGAATGCTGCAGCATCAATTTTCAACGTTGACACTATCCTCATTTCACTTTCTTCATTCCTTTACGATTAAACTCTCGAATCTTTATAATAAGATTCTGTATATACGCTTATACAGTACAGTAAGTTGTTACACTTTACTGCAATCTAGGAGCCCATAACTTTTAAAATAATTAGTCAATAACTTCCAGTGCACTCATTTGCCTGATCCCCTAATCCCTTACTCTATGATTTCAATCATTGATTATGTTGATTCTGCAATCGCAGTAAACTGACACCGGATAGCTAAAGCCCTCAATGAATAGAAATACCTAGGTGAAAAGTTCAGAATTGTTCCTCTGATAAAATCTAGACAATCTATAGATTAATTACTAGTATTTTACTAAGCTATTAGTGTAAGCATTCATAATCTTTAAACTCGGGATGATCTACTTTGTAGTATACGATGATCGAATAGGCTCTCATTTATTTACTCACTCCATAATTTAGATTACTGAATATGAAGCTTACATTTACTGGGCTATTGGTGTAAGATTCACAATTTTTAAACTTGTGGATATTCTGTTTTATTGTTTATAGCAATCGAATAGACTCTTATTCATTTACTCACTCGATAATTTAGACTGCCAAATATGAACGTTACGTTTACTGGGTAGGATTCATAATCTTTTAACTCACGGATATTCTACTTTGTAGTTATGGTTATCGAATAGCCTTACATTCATTTACTCACTCGATGATTTACATTACTATATATGAACGTTATAACTTATACACTGGAATAGAATGCTATTTATTGGCAACTAATGAATGTACAGTCATGGCTAATTTTATTCAGCATTTCACAACTAAAGTAAAAGTATAGGTAATCAATTAAGCAAATCCGATTTCTATCTGCCATACCTTGATAATTTTAAAAGAAAATAGCTATAAATTTCCATAATTAGCACTCGTGCAATCATTTATATGACTTGCTGCCTTCTACAATTCAGAACAGGCAATCTATAGAACTTGATCAGATATAGAATTAGCTATCATCGCATAAAGTTTATATGTTTCTCAAGCTAAAGGATTCATCACAAGATAAATCATAATATCTGTTCTATTTATTTCCAGATACTAACTCGTATCTTGAAAAATATGGTAAAACAAAGTATTTTCAACATATTCAAAATCCGTATATATCGTTGCTTGATACATGAATTTTTATAGGCTAGTTACACTAAAATATCACATGATATATCCATTGCTTAACCTAATCCTACTTTTCTTCAGTGTAACAAATCAATAAACTACATAGATCATTCTTTATATCTTATACTAAACAAATTTGGATAGCATTCTTCATTATAAACACATTTATCAAAGGCTGCAGCTCGGAAAAAAATATATTAGATAATAGACCTATAAAAAAGTTCAGAAGAAATCAGGTATAGTCGCATCTAAATTAATAAAAGTAATGCCCAAATAGTGGATCACTACTTTTCAATACTAACTCTTGACAACATTTAAGTACAGATCAGAACCAAAATTACAATAAAAAAATAATTAATTTTTTTTATACTTGGAATTATAAGACATAAGTATCCTTCAACGTCAAGAGTATATTTCTATAATATATATCCAAAAATGATAATTATTTTACAAAAATATTTTATAGTAAAGGCAAAATCTTAATTTGTATTCCTTTCTATTTCGAGATGTATTCGTATAATTGATATTGACCAGTAAAATTAAAAAGGTTGCCGCAAGGATCATTCAATTCACTATAATAGAATCCAGATCATTGAGTCTTTATATCATTACTATTTCGATTTTTTGGAGTTAAACGATATTAATTCCAATAGCTAGAGTATTTATGTCTTGTATACTTTAAATAAAATGGTAATTTCACACTTTGATATGACACAGTATTATACCATACAATGAAAAAAAGGGCAAAAATACTTGATACTATAAATATTCGCAATCGACCTCTAAGATTTTCTTTTCAGTTTTTTTATACGTTCTAATCGCACTGTTTCCTGCTGTAAAGTAGTTAGTTCCGCCAATCTTTGCTGAAAATTGACGCTACCTCCTTCCATAGCGTTGGAATACATATCTAATTATCACGATATACAGTCAATATAAGCAATAAAATTCATTAGATTCATAGTTTAAATCAGCCATGTTCATACTGTTTTGAAAGAACAGATTTTGCTGCCTAGATTCCTGTTACAATATTGCAAATGAATCATTACCTTCATATGATTTATGCGATGATTTCGCCTTGCTAGGTACTCTAATATTTGAAAAATATTAATGAGATGTTAACTTTATACTGAAATGAAAGATTGCTAACTTAAATTTAAAATTGATTTTCGTGAATATCGTAGTTCAAATTACGTCGTTTATGCCCTTTATTTCGATTCATAAATGAATAATACGTGATAGAAAAATTCTAACCTGCCAGGTAAGCTAATTCGTGATGTTGATCGTTTAGTGTTAGCTGTTACTGCAACACCAGTGGCTACAATATCGCGAGACTCACGACACGGCTGAGTAGAAGATTGAATAACTTTACTTGCCGAAGAACGCCTTACATCATCCACCTTCAGTAAATATAAATATTATCATTTTCAGTCATCTATTTTCTTATCCCATCACTTAATCTACTACTTACATTTTCAAGTTTGGTATAGATTAATATTACATGCCCTACACTATATGCTATCATTTAATCTCTTAATAATGTATTAAAATTGACTTCTACGATCAGAAAAAGCTTAATTTATGATCATGGAGAAACAACTTTCGAAGTAAAATAACTAGCTATGACTTTATGAGCGTACTTACTATCGTTTAGAACAGTTTCATGACAGTGCTTTATCGTAGCCTTAAATCAAGCCATTACTGAATTAAGAGAAAACTAAAACGACATCTGTAACTACTATTGTTACTGCTTCGTTCTCATGACAACTAGGTTATCGTATCCCCTTTACTTGATTTGATTTTTACCTTTCTCAATGGTGGCATAAATGTCATATTGCTATGATAATTAGCGGAACTTCTACCATGAAAGCTATTGAAACGATCTAGTCTTTGTTTAAAGCTTGGTGTATGTGCCCGGTTGTCGACATGAAATAGAAAATGTTTACCAGTATATAGCGTCTCATCTGTAATCCCAGGTTGAAGAGTAGAATTTGAGCGCCCAAAGATAGACGGATATAAATCCATTTCATTCGAAGTAGGGCCAAGATGAAATGCATCAGGGCTATTAAGAAAGGATATGAGATGTCTAAGCGTAATTTTATTCATTTTTTACAGCTTACTTTTGAAGACTCTACGAACTTGAAGTTACGTTATGTTTTTTAATACTTTATAACATGACAACAGCGTTGAAACAGCTTTTTATAGAAGACTAAACAGTTAGACTCCACATGACTTCGACTGGACTCAAGACTACAGCCGACATAGAGAGTATAAACTAAAAGACTTACAAATAGACGTAGGCTATATAATTATTATAGTTCTGACCCTATAGATTAGCACCATAATTATATGATAGTAAAAACAACGTACAATAAATCCAAATGAAACAATTATGTCAAGTAAGAAAGATATCAGCAGGTTAAATTGAAAGAGACAGAATGAAAATGAACGCTACTACTTAATCATAAAATATACAATAAATTTTTATTAATCTACTTCAAAAGAAAAGAAAGCTACAGAACTATTTCTCTATTTTTAATTGTACACCGCCTGATTACATATCATAATGGATTCTAAGCTTCAAATAAGTCGTACGTCAGGGTAATTATGATGTATTCCTGTCGTTAACCTCGACCTTTTAACTTATTAATCATTTATAAGACGCTTCTGAAATATAATTTAAACTTACCTACTACTCTGATCTGTTGCTCTGTGAGCGGTTTGTGGTTCGTCGTCAATTGGTCCTAGTAACAGTAACACAGCAAGCATATAAATAGAACACATATACCACCGCTGTGCCTTTCATTCTTGAAAAGCCTATTGACTCTATCTTATATAATATATATAATTTTATAAAGGTCCATTATATCAAAATGGTTATTGTTGTTGTCACATAAAAGAAGTACCCCCAAAAATTAATTTGCTAACATTATTATTTCAGAGACGTTAGTTATACTCTTACGTACAAAGTAAATTCTGGTAATAAAATTTACATTATTTATTCTCTCTAGTTGATATATCGTAAATGTAGATGCTATATACCCGTGTATTAGCTAACTATAAGGCGGAAAAACTTAATGACTCTTCATGAATATTTTATCGTTTTATTCTAAGTACTTGATATTATTCTAAAGTTAAATTCAGCTTATTTAAGTTTAGAGCTATCCTCTAATATCATGCTATAAATCAACTTATTACAAATATGACCTAGGTAATATGATCTTACTTAAAATCGATTTTCGCCTTTGCTCGGTAGTTTTATCGGAAATATTTTGCTTTACTTGGTTAGCTATAATCTTTTCACCTTTCTGTAATTGCTCTTGCAAAAATGAGCGATTAAAGCTTGCTTCAAACGTAAACAAGTCACTAGAAACGAGTAGCTGATCTTTTCCCATACATTGAAAATTTTTCAATCCTGAATCAAGCCAAACTGGGAAGCAAGGCCGATGAGACAATGTTGGATTGGCAAATTCAGGTTTACCATTATTAGTGGATACCATGTTGTATTACGCCGTATCAGATTTTACCATCACGTTTGAATATTATAAGAAACGATAAAGTATTATTTTCTAGAGCAAGGTATAAAAACAAAGCTCCCATTAATGTTCATAATGGATGATTGGGAAGATAAGGCAACAAAAAATTTGAAAGTATCTTTATAATCTTAGGCTATAAGCATAGGATATTTATAGATTTTCAGGCGATAGTCTGGTTAATTATCGTCAGTTGCTATCATTAATTATCATCTACTTTTTCCTCTATCGGCAATGTAATTAAATCCATGAACAATCCCATTGTTTTTTGGCCACTATATTGCCATATAAATTAAACAGTATATCGTTTTAAAACTACCGTAATTAACAGCTACTATCAAAGTTTCTGTTGATTGTGCCTGAAGAAATCTGCCAGATCAATTTCTTTAAGGAAGATACATTAGGGGGAAATATGTAAATAGAGCCATCTATTTTTGGATAGCGATACCATCAACTAAATCTTTTTAGATATACGACGATAAAATTAAATTATAGAACAGAAAAGCTGTAAAATTAATTGAGAGTAATTAGTGCTTAAAATTATAATGCTAGTGAATTATGTAGAAAGAAATTTGACCTATATATAGAGTATACGCATAAACTATTTTAGTGACGGTAGCTAATCATTGGAGCGTTAGCCACTCTTACTACCTAAGGAAATTATCTAGTCTTCAACCTTCTTAACTTCTTAAATATCTTTTATTTTACAGATACATAATTTTATTAATTTATGTCAATAATACCTACCTTCATCTATCAACTATGATACAGACAACACTCTTCGTTAGTGGCTGCAGTTGTACACATGATAGTTTACATACTAAAGTGTTTCTTTTTCATCGTATATTTGAAAACAATTTTTTGTAACTCCTTTCTCTCCTAGATACTATTTCCCACTCGCTTTCTCCAAGGATAAAACATGACTTCGAAACGATTAGCATCTATTGTTGCTAAGCAACAAATCGATATCATCATATTATAATAAAGCGACGGGGTCAATAACATTATATCGGTATTAAATCGTGTTATTGTCATGAAATTCATATTCAATACTGCATCTCTGGTTTAATAAATGACAAATGTATCCAATATTGTACTATTGTGCATACACATGTTGAAGCCATCAAAGACAAATGATAATAATAAAAAAGGCGTGTTGTGATCAGTTCTAGTAAATAAAGTTTGCTATGTAGTTAGACATTGCTATAAACGGTTTGCGAACACTAGTATTTCAGCTATGAGATTAGCTAGAATAATAACTGTATGATTATTTTAAATTTTCTCGTTCTAGCGTTAATTAGTTCTACAGTCATGAAATTACATGTTCTAATAATGCATGACATGGGTGTTAAGATACGGTGATCGTAGGCTATCTGTAATCTCGATGAATTATACGGTATGAGCTTATAGATATCTGTTAGCCTAACAGATCTTTGTTGCATGAATAATACGTACAGTAAAGTAAGATAATTTTATCCGATACTGTATATATTGATAACCATCTGTAAATCTGACTTATGTTGTCGTGTAGCTCGTAGACTAATTAGGCCTACGACCGGTTTTAAACTGTCAGATGTTTTATTTATCAGTTTTAAGGTGCCATGTTGCTGTAAAAGTAACGATTCGATATTGCCATTAAGCTATGGCTTTAACTTATAGACGTTTTATATTGTTATATTGCGAATTTTACTATATTTGCATGATATATCCAACTATTTCAGTTCTTTACCATCCTTTTTGCGGGTGTTATATGCAAGTGTATAGTATTAAACAGTTTCGACGAAAGCTGCTAAGAAATGTAAATTTCTTAACTAGAGATTGTGCATCATTTACCTTATTCAACATTCCAAAACATGAAAACGTTTGTAATATGTCAAATACTCATGCAATACTTTCCGTCCGATGGTAATATTTAATCAAAATTATAGAGTAAAGATCGATAGAAAATCCTCATTCTAAGAGTCTAAGAGTCTAAAAGCACTTAGAATAATTTAATTTACCATAAGTATAAAAGTCCTTGAATTGTTCATTACAAAAATTCAGCGCAAACTAAAGTCTGACAATATAACCTCAATTTACTTTATTTCAATGATCATTTTGATTTAAGAGTTAAATATAATGTAATTGCATCCGTTACAGTCGCAATTATTCATAATATCTTCTAAAATTTAAAGTTATTATTGATACAGAAAATAATTTCGTAATCATACTTTTGTATAACGTTTTAGGTTTATAAAATGCGTAGTGATATGATATCTTCAACTTAGTTACAGTACAAGTAAGGCTATGATAACGAAATATACAGTACACAAAAATATAACGATATCATACAGCACAAATTGAGCTAAAAGAAGTCATTTTTCATAGCGTAATAATTTGTACGCTTACTTTTATTAGAATTATTAGATTCTTTTCTCTTATGATTACTCTTAGCATTATTTTTTCGTAGCTTCTTTTGTATTTTCTTGCGAATCTGATCGCGACTTAAACCGCTATTATCTTGCGCAGGATTATTTTTCTCTAAAATCATGTCAGGCTCTGATTCTTCCGTATTGTTTCCATCTTCATGAGTCTGAACACTTGTTGGTATTTCACATTCGGCTGAGTTTAGCGATTGATCTTCACCTATTTTGGTTAATAATTATAATTTAATTTTAAAATATACTGTATAAATTTGCTGGAGCATAAATATAATTCTATCATCAGTTAGGGCATCATACTGTACTAACAACTGTAGGGATAACAGAAAGTAGACCGTAAATAATGGAAATACGTGTTATGGTAATTTAAATATACATACTAATTTTGCTACGTTCGTTGATATTTTCGTTAACGTCACCGAGGTCAGATTTATCCAGTTCATCGGAACTAGAATCCTCTTCATCATGACTGCGCGATGCATTAGTATCATTTAAATCAATTCCTTCCATCTACCAAAGAAAGACGCAATATAACAACATAGTATAAGGATGCGGTTGGTTATACTAGTAAATAGAATTATTAGGTATAGAAAAATTGTTACCAGCTCATTGAAGTTGTCTTCTAATTCCTTTGTAAATCCACTAGCATTAATTTCTTGGTCAAGGCTACGTTCTTTCCTGATCAATCGATTTTAGAACATAAATAGTAACATACCTTGTTAAAATAAAGGAACTAGAGCAGATTTTTAGATATACTGCACTTGTTACTAGGCAAACCTTATATCTGAAAATTTAGGATACAATTCACTCTCAAATTTGAATCGTCTCAAAAAAAATGTTCGAATACATTCAATATCTCTTTCAAAATACCTTGTAAATACAATGAATGAATGCATTTGTATGATCATTAGTAAAGGGTGAGATATTCCTAATCTTGTGAAGCAAAAATATTTGAACTTACCATTTGGCGTTTTCATGATGAATTGAAATCATTTGTGGAAAATCAATGACAATGGGATGATCATCTTCATCCAATATAATATTGAATTCATTGAAGTCGCAGTGAATTAATCCGAAACTTCCAAGCAAGACTATTAGATTCATCAATTCATCATATAATTTGGCCGGATCAGCTACGGAATGACAATGACATCTGCAATTACAAAAACTGAAAGTTAATATCGAAGTTCGATCGGCATTTAATTAAAATTTTAGTCAGGTTACTACAAAGCTACTTACAGAGGGTGACCATTAACAAGATCCATGACAACGCAGTGTCTGTTATAGTCAATCGGTGTCGGCACAGGATAGCCAACATCATATAAAGCCTGTGCAGGCAGGAAAACAAGGCAGACATTTAAAGATATCAAGTTTTCAAGGTGATGCAAGTGATTTTAGACAGAAAATAAAGATAAATTTAAGGTGCTACCTTCATAAAGGCATATTCTTTTGTTGCAGATAATCGCGATAGATATATCCATGAAGCACTACGACGTTTTCCTAAATAGTCTCTCTTCTCTTTTAACTTTCGGAAGCATATACGACCTAGTCTAATGTATTAAAGTATTTATAATAATTAATAAATTTCATCGCTATAATAAAGGTAAATGATAACTAAAGTTCACTTGATTAAGAGTTAATAACAACTTTTGTGCTAACCTGTGTATTTTTAAAGCGTATTCTTTTTCTTCGCCAACTACAATGAATACATCTACGAAGGATCATATTAGATATTTTATCTCTTATATGTAGCTAAAATTTAGGAAAAGCAAATTATGACCAGTGAACTGTAAAAGCTACTAATTGGCTAGGACTGCAAAAGCTAACACAGAACACTCTATCCTCATTTATGTGTATTTCTATTTCCATATCATAGCATATTATAAGTTTATTCTTCAGTTTGCATTATACGTACCAGATTCCTTGCCTACTCCAATTTGTTTACCGAAGGAACTGATCGTATCTCGTGATGCTAAGGCTTTCAATGCAAGGTAATCATAACCGGTAAAGGTTAGTCGATAACCAGAACCTGAGTAGACAAGATGACCAATGATGGTTAAGAAGCAGCTGTAGATGTAACCGAGGCCGCCAGTAATACCTATTTAAGCTATACTAAAATTGTCTATCATATAGTATTATTTACACAATAATTAGACGTAAGGGATTGCATAATAATTTATATTACTACTGGATATACACTTATTATACAGTATGGCTGTATATACAAAATGGCTATCACTGTCCGTCAATAAGCCCTAAGCAAAATGGGTCATTATCAAATTCTAGGGCAGCCTAGTATTACAATGATTTCAATTCATCTCTAATGCTATTAATATAATCTACACGTAGAAAGGAGAGTAGTGGATTGGTAGAGATAAAACTGTTCAGACTATAGTATCCATAAACTTACTTTTGCCATGTTCAAACCGCAAAAGTCTATGTTTTTCCAGTTGACGCAAAACCTTATGGCACCCGCCATGTTTCAAGTCAGCAATAGAAGTAATTAGGTTTATTGGAACGATTTCATGATTCTTCATGCCCATTTCAACCTAATTCAATTTACAAATAACAACATACCTAAGTTTTACCACATTGTCACCAGGAGGAATTACATATCAATCATAACTGCTTGAAATCATCGAGCAAGATTCTTAAATTCATGTGATTTAATGGTTTACAATTGTAGTTATTGAATATGACATGTCTAATTTCAATATACAGTAGATTCGTATCTATAAAAGCATAACAATGATGAATAGATATTCTATCGATCCGTAGATGTTGACTACAAGATTCAAGTTATTGCACTGTACAAGTTATCCTAGATGTGGATGATGATTCCACTCTGACTTTGGTGGTGCTGTCCATCTCAATATTGTGTAGATTACGAGTTCGGCCACCGTAGTAGATCGTATCTACAATAGCGTAACAATGACGAAATGGATATTCTATCGATCGGCCATCGCTAGATATTGATGACGATAAGATTCAATTTACAAATTTACCCTTGATCTGGGTCGTGAACTACTCTGACTTGTAGCTACTGTCAATCTCACTATTCTGTACATTATTAATGACGAAATAGACATTCTATAGGTCGCTGGATGTTGATGACGACAAGATTCAATTGATAAGTTTATTCTTGATCTGCTATCAATCTCAATATTCTGTCCATTAATGACGAAATAGACATTCTATGGATCAGCTATCGCTGGATGTTGATGATTACAAGATACAATTTACAAGTTTACCCTTGATCTGGATGATAATCTACTGTGAATTACTACTGCTGTCAATCTCACTATTCTGTACATGAATGACGAAATAGACATTTTATCGATCGGCTATCGCTGGATGTTGATGACGACAAGATACAAGTTACAAATTTATGCTTAATCTGGGTTGTGATTCTACTTTGACTAGCAGCTGCTGTCAATTTCACTATTCTGTATATTAATAATGACGAAATACAACATTCTATCGATCGGCTATCGCTGGATTGTTGATGACTACAAGATTCAATTTACAAGTTTATCCTTGATCTAGGTCGTGATCTACTGTGAATTACTACTGCTGTCAATCTCACTATGTACATGAATGACGGAATAGACGTTCTATCGATCGGCTATCGCTGGATGTTGATGACGACAAGATTCAAGTTACAAATTTATGCTTAATCTGGGTTGTGATTCTACTTTGACTAGCAGCTGCTATCAATCTCACTATTTTGCACATGAATGACGAAATACAATATTCTATCGATCGGCTATCGCTGGATTGTTGATGACTACAAGATTCAATTTACAAGTTTATCCTTGATCTAGGTCGTGATCTACTGTGATTTACTACTGCTGTCAATCTCACTATTCTGTAGATGAATGACGAAATAGACATTCTATCGATCGGATGTTGACGAAGACAAGATTCATTCAAGTTCGAAGTTTCTCCTTTAATATCTAAGTGGTGATTCTACTCAGACTTACTGCTGTTAAAACGCGGAAATCTTCTTGCGTTAGATAACGCAACAGGCTTACATTTAATTTTCCCATACTCAGTACAAATTAGAGAATCTTTTCGATCGGTATTAACGGCGACAGTAGCTTGAAACTTTGCAAATTCTCTTGTATAAGTATCCAAATGTCAAGAATCTTCTCCAAGGTTGCAACCCGGACTGCTCAAGAACTCATGCCTGATGCCGGACACACATTTGGATCGCCAACTTAGTATAGGCACTATACACTATACAGAACAGTAGTTTGTGCTTATACTGTCCACTGTATCCAGTCTCCACTTGTCGACACCCATAGCACAGCAATGGAACAGCGGTGTGTCCATCTATCTATCTATACCGTTACCGTACTCCTGGACCGTACCGTACTGAATGAGGTCCGATCCGTCGGCAAGGAGACGGGACTACTAGTCCTAGTAGTAATGTCCTAAAATAGGACTAAAAGTAAAAGTCGAAAGGAAAACGCAAAGGTAAGCCAAAGGGCTATTTCATGGATAATTATTTGGACATACACATGCAGTCTTCATTATTACATGTTTGTTACTTTTAAGAGCGGGCAAACACAGACATTACAAACTGATATCCAATTCTTGAATTTTAGCAATTTTGCTAAATGATATTGCAGACGTATTTTGCCAATTAAGGCAAACGCATTTCTTACCACAAATGGATTGGTGGAAAAGGTATATCCAATTCTTGAATTTTAGCAATTTTGCTAAATGATATTACATACGTATTTTGCCAATTAAGGCAAGCGCATTCCTTGCCACAAATGGATCGGTGGAAAAGGAAATAATCCTATCACAGTGTAGAGCTTTTCTATATAATGTGAAAGGGATGCATGGAAATAGTTCAAATTTTGCTTTAGTTAAACACTGCAATTGATATGGCGGTTATGTTCTAGCATGTTATGACTACTTGTGATGACAATCGTCCAAGTGGATCCATGGCTAGATTTTGCTGTTAAAAATGGGGGCAATAAAAGTTTTACATGGCATAGGTTATTGCAAGCTAGACGAGTATTGATTGCGGCTTAGAAATAGCCAGCATCTTATTAACATGCATTTAGCTAAAGATATTTTTCCTATCCAATAAAAAATTCTCCGAATAAATCTCCATTATATGGCTACTATATGAAGCTTACAATATTTAAAAATAAATAAATACTCAAGCTTTTGCATATAAAATTGTTTATTGAAGAGAATGCTTTAAAAATGTCGACAGTAACAAGTTGTACAGCGTATAGAAGTTAAAACAAGAAAGAGAGTGAGTTCAATACAAGAGTTAATAACTTCATCTTGATAGCATTTTTAATACAGCAGAATCGATTAAGTTTGATCAATAATGACAGAATAGTCATACATCTGTCAAGTAAATTATCAAATCGATTCTTAATAATACCGAAATGGCTGTCTAACAGACATCATTTTGATAAATTCATGTAGTATTGAATAAGAATTGGGAAATCAAGATAACCTACAGCAACATCGTTTTGATATAGAATGCTGAGAAAATTGCTTATTGGTGATTGCAATGATTTACAATTGTAGAGAACTTTGGGGAATCTACATGAATCATTCAACATAGGATAAATTTCTTGTTATGAAATACCAGTTATTGTTATAAACAGATACGGTCAAAAAAATGAAATCGGATAATCGCCGAGATGATAAGTTACAAGTATATCGCTGCTGTAGGATCAACTTTCTCAATATTCTTGTTCAATTACCGTAAAAACATATCGACCTTATTATAAGATATGTGAGCAGTTATTTTTGAGAATAATATCGTCTTATTCCGTATAGTAGATCTACAACTTAGCAAATGAGATCTATTTTTATTGGTGAATTGATCAATGCAGTATTTCCATCATTTAATTTGGATCCTAACGCATTGAATTCGGTTGATTTTCAGACTGATGCTTCATATCATTATTTATAGTATCGTTACTGATATTTAGCTTAGAAAAATCTAATGTTAAATTAACTTTATTGGCTGGCTTGTAATTAAGATCAATAGGATAAATACATAAAGTCGATTTATTGACTATCCTAGGTGATGAACTGATTGATCTTGCCATTGATTTACTGCTATAATTGCCTTTAGAATAATGATTTTGACTTGCAAGATTACTCTGGGATATTTTCGGTAAGCTAGACAAAGAGGATGATAGTGCAATTTCACTGCTAGACTGAGAGGGTCGCATTTTTTTTAGCCATTTGATAGCGTTACCTTTGATCGGAATTACTACATTTTCTTGGCTACGAACAATATTCATTCGGTAGTGATCGTCATTTTCCTTGCCAATAACGTAAAATAAAGCTTTGTTAGTAGCTTTATTTTTATCATGATGCCTTCGAATTTTATGCGCCGAGAATCCTTCATTAACCTTGTGATCGTTGTAATTTTTGCCTCTAGGTAGTAATTGCTTTTGATGGTAGTTTAATTGACAGTTGGACGGTGATTCTGTGGAAGGGATGATAATACGACTATGGCTAAATCCTTGATAGCGATGGCCAGAGCGCTGACCACCATAACGATTGCTGACTACTTTAGTTTTCCAATGAAACAGTCGTTGCTGTCCCATATTGGCTAGCTGGCAAGCGTCGATATCATTATTATTATTTAATAACATCTTCCGAAAATGATCACTCGACTGCGCTTGTATGACGTTATCATCCCCATTGCTATTACTGGTATTAACTCCTTTTCCATTAATGCTAAAAAGGTATTGAGACATTGGCTTGGATCGATTTTTAGTCACGTTATGCGGTTCATGTTCAATTTTATCCAGGTAATCTTGAATTGAACGTTCAGTATTACTAATGTATTCCGTTACTGCGTCTTCAATGGAACGTTCTAATTCTTGTCCATCCTGAATCGACTGTGAGCTGTCATCGTCTTTTACCCCTATGCTACCATCGAAAGCCTCATTACATTCATTTAAATAGGATGTAAGATTAGCTATCTCATCCATGTGATCACTTTCGCCATCACCATTGCTCAATTGGCTGATATGGGCACTTGTATTCTCTTGGTAGGATAATGACTTTGTTAGCTTTCGTTTGGTGACATTAGCAGTGCCTTTAGTAAGCGCAGCTATACAAAGAAAAGAATATTCCTTCTATTACTGTTTAATAATCTGGCAATCATTGTCTAAAGGTTCATTTCCACTAATTTTGAATGCCTAGAAGATATTATAGAAAATGATTGTACTGTGCAGGTATTTTTTAACCTAAAATTTGCTTGTAGCTATATATTATGAGTTCATATCAATTGTAGAATCTCTTTTTGTCTTACTAGCAATGCAATAAACGACCTAATAAAAATATCTAAGTGGTATAAGACTAACATTGTATATCTACATTATTACTTTTTAAATTAATTCTGTCATATGGAAATTCTTAATATGATAGTACGATGCCGCTAATACATACGTAGTTACAGACATCTCTAGAAGGATTTACTTTTTTACAGGATAGGCGAATTTCATACGCTATCTTAAATTTTAAGTATTACTAATCGATAATGATAATCGAATAGGTAAGTATACCATTTCAGATTGATTTCATTTTTACGAGATAGACGAATTTTATGAATTTTCTTCAATTCAAATACTCTTAGCTAAGTATCTACCATGCTATTGCATAGTGATTTCATTTTTAAACAACAGCTATTTCACTAGTTATCTTTAGGTTAAATCTTAGGAGTCAATGGGGGTCCATGCTATTTCAGAGTGATCTAATTTTTGATAGTTTATCTTAAGTTTAATTATTGCTAGCTTACAGCCTGCTAATGTATAACACAATTTTTGTAATTGAGGATAGAATTAGTTAACTGTCTGCCAAGGCTATTTCAGAATGATCTAGCTTTGGCAATAAACAGAATTTTCCATACATTGTATTAAATTTGTGCATTTTGCATTTTCAGAATGATTTCGTTTATGGAACACCGATATTTCTAATAGCTGATACGAAGACACATTATTCCGAACAGTCTAGCATACGAAATGGAGATTTGACCGAGTAGCCCTTGCCATAAGTGCAAGCAAAATGTAACCATTTCAATATTTATTTTATTCACATTAATCCATTCATCTGGCTATGATGGTAGACGGTTATTTATAATTAATACCCATATTATTTCTGTTCTCCCATCCTTTGCATACATGCTAATTTATTGTAAAGTGATCATAATGATGGATTAAATATGTACGATCTAGATGATTGATTCCATAGAATATTGATGTAAACATTTTGTTTCTCATAGTGTTAAATTTGCTATATTTCTGCGTAAGTAACTCAATACCAATTTGAAGTAAACATCTTCATGTAAGTTATAAGTTCATAGGTGGAACTCGATGATACGAGGGAGAATGAATTCTGATGAATAAAATATTTTACTAGTGGTATCTAATGCAGTAGTAGTTAATCTCGATTGGATAAAACCTAAATGAACCATTTATCTTGACTGTCCCTCAATATCAATCATTTCCTACTATAAGATATAGGTTACAATGAAGTAAATGATGATACCGCAAAGCATTACTAATTGATTTACTATCATAAAATGGAAAAAGTCCAAAAATACATAGAGTGGGATTCAACTTAGTTGATAAATTGCAACTTATCAAGGATAATTGCTATTTCTCCAGGAAACATTCATTGATGAAGTTGACAATAATTGAATCATGATTATAACTATAGACTGATAATAAAATTGACTCGCTTAAATGGGTTACCCCTTAAAAGGGGTAAAGTATAATTAGTTTTGTATTCAGATGAGTTTTAATCAAAGCTTTTATAACAGTAATACCACTCGAGTGGATCATGCAGCTTATGATCCTAATGATGCAAAAATATACGAAGAATAATCATCCCCAATTAAGATTAGAAATAGCATTAAAGAAGAAATTCGAAAATTCCGTATACTACCTCCTAATTTAAAGCAGGCCATTTTGTATGCGATGTTAGCATTATTAAAAGAAATTGTAAAACTTTGATATCATCCCAATTGTTAATTAACCATGACAACAAGGTATTAAACTTTTTTGATTCTTAAAGTGTTGATAAAAATGTAAATATATTGTTGATGCCAATCCAAAATAGAAAATCGATACTATACTACATTAATTGTGAGTAGAGATCACTTTTACTGGCGTAAGTAGGTTCGATCTAATATTTTAAGACACAACCTTCTAACATAAAGTAAAAATTTGCTATCAATGATTTTTTAAAAATTTACCTTTCTTTCCTTTGATTGCTAAACGATGAAGAGCGAGTTGGCCAGCGTTGACATTACTTTGAGCAACCATATCGATCGCGTCGTTATCACTTAACATAATGGCAATATCATTTACGTTTAGCTTTCGATAAAATGATTAAGGCCACTTAAACTTCGGATAGGTTAATTTTCACAACACCCTAATAAGTTGATAGAGGATGTATTGATTAAAGATACGAGATTATGCTAATACATATTGAGAGGGAGATATCCTAGATAATATTATTCCAGTATAATACAGGGTCGATGGTGAAAAGAAAGAGACGTAGCCGTTATCTTATAAAATCTTAAAATAGACATAGGATGATATAATATTTGTAGTACGTGTATACAGCTCATTAGGAAAGATCCGAGAAGAATCGAGTATTTATAGATATAAATTCTACTACTTGTCTTTACCTTGATGAATTACTATAATTATTTACTGCCAGTAGCTAGGAATTGAAGACGCTTGAAACAGGTAAAAAATATACTTTCGTGTTATAATTATTACAGCTAACAAAGATACTCTTATCAGATTAAAATACTAAAGAATATTAATTTATACCGTGAGGACTAAAGGTATTCTGATGTGTGAACGCCGAATGATTGTATTTGGTAGTCTTTGGTCGATAGTATTTGCAGTTATTATCATATTACTGTACATAGCAGGAACAAGATGTTTTCAAGTGTTTCACTAATTATCTATAAATAGTGAACTATCGGAGTTTTGTAAGAAAGTTCATGAATCGAGACTTTATTCAATCTTGAAGATCGTGAATGATAAATGACTTCTTACCTATTAGACTGAAGATTGGCAAATTTTGTTGACGTACTCGTATATAGTATTAATTAATAGATAGTAATATACCAAAGGATAAGAAATTTCTCTCAAAGTGTCAGGATCTTATTCCTGATAATGAAAGGATAAGAGCCCAAGTCTTTCCGCTTAAAAATATCTTACGATCTTGACGCCCTTTATGTATCGATAGTGCTCTATACTGCGATGAAAAAGAATAATAATTAGTTTTAAAACTCTAGGTATATATATAGTAGTGGCCGTTACTAGATAATAGAGGGTCTGTCGTGTAATTAATTATTAAGCAAGTTGATAATTACAATTAGCACAATTAGTCTGTGTGACATGAAATAAGGAATCGCATATCTTACGTTTTTGTAATGATATCATCATCTAATCTAACCTTTCAGTTCTTATTCTGTACTAATATCAGATCTCAGACAACAAAACTCTCATTTTACATTATTATCATTAAGTACAAAGGCTGGATAGTTGTTGTTCTTCTTAACTTTTGCTTAGACAATAGCTTAACAAAATACTTTTATTGCCAACAATACTTCGCACATCTTGACTGATCAAAAAAGTAAACAATAGTTCCCATAGTAACTCTGAATTAGACAACTGACAGACTGTGAAAGTAGAGAGATGTCAATGCCTTTCCTTTTCTATACCGGCATCTAATGAATATTATAGTGATAGAGTTGTAATTGTTAATAGAAATTAGGAGATTTGCTGCGATCCATCTCCCTTCTTCGTCCCCCTCCTCCCTTTTCTTCTTTTTCGACAGTCCTGTATTTCTCAAATTGTATCATTGGTGATAATTAATTTCATAATCGGAAGTCGTTAATGTACAGCATATACATAAATGTATTGGAATCAAAATGTCACCATTACTTTTTGGGTAAATTTTGGATCTATCTTTGAAGCCACAATATTTCATTATTAAACAACGCCTTATGTAAACATATGAACAATCGTATATTTTGTTTTAATACAAACATGATGTGGAGAGGAGAGAGGGTCGAAGAACTTAGATAATTTTTAAAGTACTTTTATTATTTGCAACAGTACATGGCTGTATTTCCATTTCATGTACCGGTAAAGATATCAATCAAGTAGTGATTCTTTTTGAAAATCATATATGAAGTAGTTGTAGCAGGCAAAATAGTAAATTAGAATTTAACGCAATTACCATTTTTAGGTTCATTAACAATACTTTACTGTGAAATAATCGTTGGATAACCTTATTGAACCTATTAGGAAATAATTGATCATCGTTATATTGCACAAGAATAACGAAGTACACTTTAATTACTGGTAATAGAGGATAGCTTACAAGGACGTCATCTATAATTGTTTAATGCTTAATCTTTAATATGAAAAGTATATATTGAGATTAAAATGAACTGCTCATCGTTGAGGAATTGATAGTCTCAAATCATGAGTACATTCTGATCTCTGATTGGAGATAAGGTATAATAGAACATTTAAGCTTCATAGTAAAGTAATTGTTACTAACAAATATTTAGCATAAAGTGTACAGCCTATACTCGCATACGCGGTCAAGCACTGGGGATGTTGCAATTTCAAACTTTCAGGAAATGAAGCTTAAATTTTGAATTTAATATGATTGTTATATTTTATTCAAGTTATTATATAAGTTAATTATACATAAGCATAATTAAAAGTATAAATGCCACTATCTAAAAGGCTGATAATAAACATGTTCATTTCAAGACAAATTATTAAGGATAATCAAGAACATTATGCTTAGTATAAAAGACTACTAGTTTATCCAAATATCTTATACAAGCGTCCAGAGTAGACAGACAGCTTAAGTGCGATCGAACTTGTTCATATCAATTAAAGCTGGCTAATAATAGCAATAAGACTTTTACGTTTGCCTTACGCAGTACTTATTCGTAATACAATGAATTAATTTATCTGCTTGTTCTTTCACTACTTTCAGGTATTAAGATGTGTCTCATAAAATTTACATGTCGTCGCACTAAACCATTTGCATGCGACGAATACCTTCAAGCAGACGTCGTGACTGTTGCACATAGTCCATTGGTGTCAAGTTTACACAACTGCATTTGAGTCTATTTTCATCCTAATAATACCAACCGATATTATTCGTATAAGAAAGTGCAGTGTCTGATATTTCATACCAATAATATTCATTACTTACATTGAAAGATTCCATTTTAGCTCTAACTTTGAGAATGTAAGACTGAAATAAAGCTTCATTTATGGTATGTTCATATTTACTTTCGTCCTAAATTAAATTTGATAACAATTATTATTATTTCTACAGTAAAAATATAATCCGTCTGCATGATAGCTTACATTTTCTTTCCACGCGCCTAACTGCTGAGCTGTACATTTCAACATAGCTTCTCCAGTCTCTTGAAAAAATGTAAGCCAATTACTGCCAGTAGAATCTACTATAGAAGCCTAAAAATGTGATTTTAGGGGTTTAAATCTTCAAACTTTTGAATAGGGAACTAAAAAATTACTGTCATTAGCAAAACTTACAGATATCATTAGTCGATACTTGAAATCTGGGAATGTTTGATTGCATTTCTCGCAACGGTAGCTTCCTCCTTGATCAATGACTTTCTTATTGCAATCTTCTTTAGGACAAGCCTATAATAATGTTAGCGTTACAGGCATCAAGAAATATTTAATATCGTCGTAGCATATTAGAAATTGCTCTTCTATAGTTGGTACACTATGCGAAAGTTCAGAGTCTTTACCTTGTACATCAAATTTTCCTTGCGAATGTAGATAATTGTGGCTTTGAGGTTAAAGTAATCCGCCTATAAACAAAATACACCGGCCAGGAACATTATTTCAAGACAGTAGCAATTTGATGTAAACGTTAATTAGGTATACCTTTTCTTGCTGTCCCAAATTTTCGCCATGGATGTCGCTAATATTTTTCCAATTGCCACTGAAGCCTTTAATAAACAAGTAACTAAATTAAAGATCCCAAAGATTTTTACGAATTTATCTAGACATATCTTCATATTTTAAAAATTTTACCAGGGGATCCAATATCTCCGCGTTTTGTTGATATCGAAACTAATTCTTGATCTTTACCTTGCACATCAAACCTGGTAAATTTTTTTGATTATAAAGTTATTGCAAGAAAATAGTGACAAAATGATATTTTAGTTGATCGTACCAGCCACGTAGTATATGCGCTTCAGGTATATCAGGATTAGTCATAAGTTGGCTTGAACCCACAACACTTAATGACCGACCTATCAGAATTTCAGTTTTATTTTTAGCTTACATAACTATTCTTTTCATACGCAAGTTTGACTAACCTCCAAATTCAGTCACTCTCGCGCCTCTAACTGCAACGACAGGAAATTGTGAACCATCAAATTCTTCTGCCTAAGATAGAATTTTTACATATTAGCCTTAGCTGGTGGAATAGTTTCGATTCTAGAAACTTACATTGGTGCCCCAGAGTGTCAGTCGTACGACTTTGCCGGAATCATCAACCAATTCGATATCTCTCTTATTGACTTGTCTATTAGATTTCGTATTAATCGTAACAACGTCATCAGCACTTTTTACAACGCCAACGACATCTGTTGATGATTAAGGAAATATTTTACTTAAAAATTGATCGATAATTATAATTTGTTTACATTACCAAAATATATATCAAATTTGGATTACCTATCATTCTTTCAGCTGGTTGATTCTCGATGTCGCCAATACGTACGAAGTTAAAGCTAACTTTCGGTAATGATGCTATATCATCACACTTAAGAATGAAGTAATTATTAATACGTTAAATTGGAAATTTTATCAAGGAAAGTTTTCTTACAGGTTCAACAGCGGTTTCGTTAGTAAATGTCATTTCGTAATCATTCTTGATGGAGGTAAAGTTTTTATTTGCAGTCTTGATACTGCATCTACTTATGTAATATACCTACGAGAGCGCAGGTAGTTAAAACGTGTAGTATGACAGATAATATTATTAATACATGGTGTAGGGTATTTAGTTAAGTTTCACGTTTAATGAAGGACTAACCTTGTTAACTTCTAAGACATCATAAAATTTTTCGACTTGATCACGAAAGGCAGTTGCTCTAATTTCTCCCTATCATAAGATCAAGAGTTATCAGGGTAGGAATGGAGCCAAGAAGTTATTAATCATTCTAAATTGTTATAACAGTACTTTAATTGAGAATAAGTACTGACCGATTCATCAATTAAATCGACACTAAATAGTTTTCCTTCGCCTCGTGAATTGCTCCATTTTCTAATTTCACTTTTACTCGTTACACGAGTTCGAATCGTCCATCTTTTATAATACAATTTTAACATTTCAGGGTTATTACAAGGGACTTTCGTCGTCCAAATTATGATGCATTTTTAACCTGTTTTGATAAGGAGTGAGGCTACTGATTGGAAAAACAATGCGATTTTCGGATTTGTCAACCAAATTCTGTTGGGGATGGATGGTGGGACGGGGATTTGTCACTTGGTTCCTTATGTAATGAAGATTATGTGTAGATATTAAGGTTGACGGTAAGATTAGGTCAAGGTAATGAAGAAATTAGCATAATTCTTACATAGATCTATTGGTGGGAGCATAACTTGGTTTCTGCTGTTGTATCTCTTGCTGCGGTTGGTAATTGTTTGATTTTGAGGGGGCTAAACGAGATTGAAAAATTTTAAATTAGATAAACATAGTATCAACGACTGGTAATCAATTTATTACAGTATTAACCAATAGTATGATAGGATAAGGATCAATGACGATATGATAATAAGTCAAATAGGTTAATAGTATAATACTGACCAGATTGGTCATTATACGGTTTGGGCTGACCAATTATATCCGTTTCACTTCCACAAGTAAGAACTGTTAAATCTAAGATTACCAGTACTTTCCTACAGTGGTAAAACAGCAATATTATTAATTATAGGTAAGCCAATCAACTGGCAGAATACTTGATTTTCTATGTTATTAGTGATATTAACGTTGTTATTTACTTATTACTAACCTTGTTTCTTGTACAATATTACAAGTGTAGTTATTGAGCTTAATAATAGCTTTAGCATCCAATTCACCACTAGTAACTCTTTGATTTAGTTGAGTTGCCAACATGACGGCTAGATAATGTGATGCAAATACCGAATAATAATGATTCAAACTTGCTTCACTTAGATTTCAATAGTGTTATTCTACACTGGGTTTTAATAATTTGACATAACTTATTATAGTATATACAATTGAAAATCATTTTACTGTACATAAGTTTCAGTACTTACATGAATAAGCATGGATGCCATCGGAGAGAACAATTCTACAACACGAAATTCATTCCACAATTTAGTTAACTATCAGGTAGAATTACGTACAACTAAGTTTGAGCTAGAAGCCGAATGAACTAGTGAAATAGGCAGATACATTCGATAGTATTATGTTAAGTATATCTACGGTAAGTGACGACATCTATTGCGTAACCCAATGTAGTTTCATTATACGATAGCCAATTCAGTATTTAGCAAACCTGTAACGTTCGACAGAAAGCTTTTCATTTTGGATCTTTCTTACAGCCTAAGATCAATAAGATTTATACATCAATATACTGCAAAAGGATTGTCTGTAGGATCTCCAAGATGTATAACTGATGAACGGTGGAAATTATTACTAGACATTACGCGGATACAGAAGTAGAAGTGCATCCGCCCATGATAGTATGAATTAGTTTTATTTGCATGTATCGCAATACCGTGTATTTTTCTGATATATATTTTGAGTACGTCCGATGAATTAGATACTTACAGCCACTTGAAAAATCGGTGTTGGTGGGTTTTCACCGTTGCAAATAGCCTAATTTGTAAGAAGATCATCATTAGGCTTGGAAACTGGTAGTCGAGTAGTTTGTTACCAGTATTGTTATGTTTCGCTTTTGGAAAAGTAAAAGCTGTTATGAGTCTGAACATTTAAGTATAAATAGGAAGGGATGTACTGAACGAAAGAGAAAACTACCATCAACAAGCAATTGTATTGAATAAAATTGCATATCAACTACTTTCTATACTGTAGAAGAGATTGACAACTGTTGGTTGACGTAAAGGATATCCCATATGTAGCCAAGTGTGATAGTCAATTATTCAACTAGGTGAAGAAAATCATCCAGAAAGAGATGAAAGTGGTCACTTAAGCCTACAGTACAGTGTATACTAGACAACTATGATCGGATGATTGTTCTGACACGCGAAATAGTTGTAAAGAGAGGTACTGTAGGAGGTCGCATACAATCTTCATTTAATGAAAGTGTTTTTTGCAAACTTGTTCTATGCAGTAGTGAGTTGAATACGATTATTCTGTATTTAGGACTCTATACAGAATGGATAATCTACGGTAGATAAGATGTTATTTCATTGGATTGCAAACCTCCTAGGATTATTACAACATCAGTAAGGCATTTTAGCAGTAGATAGTTACCTGAATTGCTCCTGCAGATAACGCCATTACTCCACACACAACTAAAATGCATACATAGAAATAGTTGAAAAGGTGTGAGAAAGATTGTCAGGTAGCAACAAGTTGATCGATCGCTATCCTATCATTAAGAAAGGACAAATATAAAATAAAGTCATCCTTACCAACTCTTATTAGAACACTAACTCGTGTAGAATTGGAGAAAATTTTTCAGTTTTGTCGGACAACTTAGTCTTGGTCGGCTTGGCGACGAAGTGAAAGTCGGTGTAGCTTCAATCTTGGTGGATGAAGTAATTGGTACGACAGCAGTGGGACTACTGAAGCTTGAATGATATGACACGCAATGCTCGGTACGTTCTTATTTAGGACTGAGTCTATTTTGACTTTGACTTATTTTTTCGCGCCAGAAAATGCGCTTGCGTAATGTGTGACGTACATGAAGGACGATCGCGTTCTTGTTCCGGCATGCCCCAGACTACACCACGACTCCACCAGCTAGACCGTCAGGTCGCTTTCAGTAGCGATTACAGTAGTTATTATGGGTAGTTTTTTTATTTTTACAGGGTGATATGTTTTGGACATGGACCCCCTTTTCCCTTCCATTTATCGTTTACTTTTTACTGTACATACGACTGGATATATTTAAGTTTTAAAACTACGGAAGTACCAATAAGTAAATGCAGTAAATCTACCCTATGATTTTATTTCAGGCTTGTTTTGTACTGTACACTGTACACTGTACAGTACAGTACCCTTCCGATTTTCGAAGACCTTGAACTTCGACATACAGTACTGTACTGCATTCAATACGATAGCTATGCATCGGCTTTGCTTTGTTGTACCGTACCGTACTGGTATCGTGCCCTGTAGAAGTACCGTACAGTGTACAGTACTTCTACGTGTACAGTACAGTACTGTACTATTTGGTCGTAGCGAACAGTACGGCACGGCACGGTACAGCACGGCTGCAGCTAACGTGAACTACAGTGTACAGTACTTCTACGTGTACAGTACAGTACTGTACTATTTGGTCGTAGCGAACAGTACGGTACGGCACGGTACGGCACGGTACGGTACGGTACAGTACGGCTGCAGCTAACGTGAACTGCTGTAATGTTCTGGTACTGGTAATGTACTGAAACGACACTCGTATGGTAATGTACAGTGCACAGTATGACATTGTACAACATGTTTATAACATAGTAGTGTCGTTACTATCATCTCAGATATTGCCATAGTAAAGCCTCTACAGCGACAGCGCTACCACTAGATTGATTGAAGCAACTCTGCAAGCCAGCCAGCTAGCCATCAAATAGTGGTCGCCAATACCTTCAAGATGGAAGATCAACAACATGCAGAGGATATTGCCACGCATGGTCCATCGAATGCCCAAGAGGATACCAGCCAGAAAGAAAAATTTGCTTCCCCTTTGCCAATAAGCAATAAAACTGCAAAATCAAATGAACCATCTACTGCGTCGAATGAAACCGCAGTTGCATCTACTTGCAATGATTCCACTTCCCACCATGTTAGCAAAGAAAATAATAAATCGTCTCTAACCAGGGATAAAATCATCAAAAATATCCCTTATGACGAACCAATTTGGAGTGGAATAGCTGATAAAAATTATACTTTAGAGGTGTTAAAGAATGGATGTATTGTGGATATTTGGAAGTTAAATGATAAAGCTTATTATATATTTGGTCGTTCACCTGTATGCGACTTTGTTCTGGATCATCCTTCTGTTTCTCGATGTCATGCAGTCTTACAATTTCACAAATATAATCATGATGACGCTGGTAAAGTTGGTTTTTACATGTACGATTTGGCTAGCACACATGGATCACAAATAAATAAATCACCTGTCGAACCACGTCGTTATTATCGTTTGAGAGTGGGTCATATGATAAAATTTGGTAGTAGTTCTAGAGTTTATATTCTACAGGTATGATCCAATATATGGATTAATTATAATTGTCATGAGTAGATACTATTCGTTACTGAAAGATCAACTGAACGCTACGATGCCTTTCTAGCCTAATTAATGTATTTAACATGAGGGTATTGCTGTGCTGTACGATCACATTCAGGGCCCTAGCGATGATCAAGAGGAAGAAATTTATGTTTCTGATAGTAGGAAAGCGGTAAAACAAATAATGAATGCAGAAGAGGTCGAAGAATGGAAACACAAACAGGAGAAAGACCGAAAGGGAGATTCAAGAAAAGAGGACAAGAACGATGTTACATGGGGTATTGGTAAGCTCAACCATACAATTAGTAGGATGCATTTATAATCTTTGGTTGTACTTTGTTGTTATTATGACTATCGACTGATTACGTACGGTACATTATTTGTGCTTTTATGTTATCTTGTCTAAAACTCTAAATGCTCGACAAGTGATACAGACTGCAGAGTATTCTATTCTCTTTTAGCTGAATAGAAATCTTTCAAACTTTATTCCGTAGATTTTGGTGTTGAAGAGGAAGACGCAGATATTGATATCATCGAAAAGGCTCGTACAAGTCATGATGATGATAGTTATTTTGTTAAGGATCCTAAAAAGGCATTAAGGCATTTCTTCGAAACAGCAGGTTTGATCGTAATGTCGTAGCATTTGGCCTCATTGCAATTGACTCTGCAAAATTAAATGTATATTTTATATATATATATATATACACAAAAAATGCAGTCGTAGATAAAATGTGCTAATTATTTGAAATTATAAGTCAGCGTTAAGCAACTTAAGCGATAAATTTACTCTGCTATATTGTCTTTTTAGTCAATATTCTTTACCTTACTGCAAACAATTAAAATCTCTATGCTAATATCCGACTTCTGATCTTATATACTATTTCTTCTACAGGTGTTACAATGGAGTATGAAGTTTGTGAGAGTGGAACTCCACGTAATCGAACTTATCAAGCTAGAATCAAGTATGAGCTAAATTCATATAAAATTGTAACATTCCTCAAATCTAGATATATTCACGGTAACGTTACAAGAATATTTTATTCAATTTTATTAAAATTTCGATATTCAGATTGCCTGTAGAAACTAGCGAAGGTAACTGCATATATGGTGAAGGAACAGCAGAAAAGAAGAAGGATGCAGTGGTGGCTTGTGCGTTGGATGGTTGTCGAATCCTAGAAGCCTATGGAATGCTGCGATCATCTGGTAACTTTTAAATATTTCATGTCAGCAGATGACTTACTAAAGTACAGAATTATTACTTGACTATATCATGAGTTGATATCTACTACTTATATACAGCATTTAAGACAGTATTAGTATTTCTTGAATTGATAGAATAATTATTATAGTAGATTTATTACCGTAACTTGACGGACTACAATATAGAATATCTGATGGTACCGTCTAGAATTAGTATACTTTATCAAATTGCACACATCATTGCCTTACGTGATGAAACGTTTAAAATGTAAAACTTAAATTATAAGCAGTTTAAAAATTTTTCCTGGAGTATTATTACAAGAAGATTATTTTCATTTTACAGTTTCTATAAAAAGAAAACGAAAAAACTGGGAAGACAATGATTACTATGACAGTGATGAAGATAACTTTCTTGATAGGACAGGAGATTGTTAGTTTAAGTTCAGTAAAGCTTCACTTCCTTCGTGTTAATGGATATCAAATAGTTTATATTGTTATCCTTGTAATTATTGTAATACAGTGGAAAATAAGAGGATAGCAAGAATGAGACGAGCTGGAAAAATTACTGAGGAAGCAGAAACATTTCAATCATTGGTTTGTATAAAACATTTTTACAAATGCACTCTACATTAAAGTTAAAGAGATAATTTCACTGTTGTTTTCGATCGCCTTGTTGTAATGTTCCTGGGAATAGAGTCTAAAACTAAAGGAGATACAAGATGAAATGAATAGGCTGCGATCTAAACTAAACTCTGCTAAAGGTTGCTATTTAATCACCAATCGTTAATTGACAGAATAGCGGATTTTAAGATAACTTTTACATCTTTAGTACATGCCTAGTCATATGGATGTTAGTATAAGTTATTAAATTTAATTTTTTGAATAGGCCAGCAACAAACTTCCGAAGCTGATTCTTTAGATGCCTTCATGAATAACGTTTCAAATACCTTGGATGCAAGGGCAATTACGTCAATTAGACTTCACTTGTCCGATCTTAGAAAGGTACAGTACGCCTATAGCAATATTTTAATGTTTAGATGCATTTATCTATGTACTGTTGTATTACGAATTTGAAAAACTTTAAATTATCCTCTAACTTATCATGCCCTAATGATGCTGAAATCTTGGATTTAAAAATTAATTCATATTTATGCATTATAATTATTATAGAAAGAAGAAAAACTAATCAAATTAGTAGAGATTGCGCGCCCCGCGGAACTACCAGAGTACCTACAACTAAAGAAAACTACTGATTCAAAAGGATTACCTGCATCTCCAAATCGAAAGCCTGACGGCACTGACGAAGCAGACAAGGGGTATTATGAACATGCCATATATGTAGATTTTTAGCGGATGGATTTGTTAACTCAAAAATACTACTACTTTATTGTACGATATTAAGCACGCCTGTGGATCTGAAATCTAAAGTCAATGAAAAGCCATCCGTGAAAGTGTCTTCCGTTGCTCAGAATGTTAGTTTAAAAGCAAAGGGTGTTCAATTCCTTGGTGCACACCCGTCCAAGATGACTGGTCCGAAAGTGAGGGATGACGATGATGATGATATTGTAGAGTTTGATAGTGAAAGTGATAGCGAGGAACCAAAAAAAGGTGCAACTAGTATGGAGACAAATAAAACAGTGGATGATGCAAGACAATATTCCGTGAGACTTCCTGATCGTGAACTCTCACTTAAAGAGGTGGTAAAGAAAAAATTGAATTAATTAGCCATCTATATACATCTTAGCTATAAACTTGATAATCGCGGACAATAGACAGTAATAACCTATAAAATTAAAAAAGTATTACATAACAACTGATTCATCTGATCTATTGTTATTTGGCCATATAGGAGATAACCACAATTAATCAAGAATTAGATGATAGCTCGAATAATAGTCGAAATGCTGGTCCGTCACAACCATCTCAGAGGAATGATGATGATGAATGTATTGATTGGCTACCTCCAGAAGGTTTGTTAATTTAACGTATTTGTGTGGCACAGTATTTAAGAACGCAATAGTATACTTACTGAATCATATTTAGATCTTCTATAATGGTTTGGTGATGTGATCACCTTTTTCTTACTGTAGGTACCTGGTTTATATAATTTTATTTGTTTCTGCTTTATAATGATAGATCAATTTGGCGACGGAAAGACTAGTCTAAACACAAAATTGGGCTACTAATCGATAATGTGTATGGATATCTAGATACCAAGGCGGGATTATGTTAGAGTTGTTGCGTAAAACTAAATTTTTATAAGGATTACGAAGGATTTCAGAAATACCTTACGCTGCCTAAAGTACGCGTACTGTATAATACCAATTCAACTTTAGGTATTTGCTAGTTTAGTAAATACGTATACTACTTGTAGCATAGAAAATTTTAGCGAATATGTGTATATTTGACTCATAGAGCAGTTACTGGGTTGTATTAAATGTCTGTAATGTATATTTCTTGTTCATATCATATGTAATAATGATTTTGCTTCGCAATGTTTTAGAATTTGACGGTATCTAGAGTATAGTAATGATAATTGTCGCTGTGGGCGATCTTACCATCAACGATTTCGCTATTTATTAATCGACTATACTCTTCATCTTATTCGGATGTCTTAATGAATAAAGAAACTCTGGTTACGCAGTTTGTTGCTTCAATTTAAGAAAGTTATGACTTTGTTAAGTTGTTGGATTTGTTTTGTAAAAGTAGTATAATTTACAATATAGTAACTTTTACTAGTGAAAGCGAAAGCTTCTTTAGATGTAGGGCATGGCTATGTATTCGATAGATACAGCGAATTCAACGATTATAAGTTGATAATTATCGTGCATGTATTGCTTGAAGAATAAGAATTGATGATTGTGCATTATCCACTGAATTAAATTTTTGCTGGCCCACAATACAGTACAATAATCATAATACAAATATGTATAGTGAACTAATTTGGGGGAACTTGGAAATTGCTTAGTATACGAAGTACAAGAGAAATTGTGGATCTAGTCAATCTAAGATTTGCAAGTGATAATGGTTTACAGTTATTACTGCTCGATTACCTATTTCATATGACTGCTTTCGCGCAATGTCTTGTCGATAGTATAGCGATAAGTTTGGCATAGAATGCGGGTAAATCAATTTTTAATCTTGATTTTTGATAGTGACCGTATCAGTTTACAGTTAATTTAATAAATTTGAAGTTATTACATGGTACATAAGAGCAATAGATTTTTATTTCATATTTAAGCTTTTTCATTTGTCCCTTCATCGTTATCAAGAAGCGCCGAGCGAACGCCAATTTCATTTAATTTGTCGATTAGATCTCCCTCACGGTGCATTTGTAATAAAATATCGCATCCACCAACAAATTCTCCTTTCATGTATACCTGTGGAATAGTTGGCCAATCTGAGTAAGTTTTAATTCCTTGTCTGATGTGTTGATCGTCTAAAACGTTGTGGAATGTATAGTTATCAACTCCATGCATTCGTAGGATTTGTACCACGGCGTTGCTGAAACCACACCTGTAGCAATATTAAAGAGTTCAAAGGAGACGAAATTTATAGTATATTGTATTGGTAAGCAGTCGATACAATTTATAACGATGATTATGAACAATACTGTACTATCAGGCAGGGACTACTCAAATTTTCGTTAATATGCAGTCTCTGGTACTATCATAGTAGCGTAATTTGGAAATGTAAAGGGCTTTTTAAGAACGCGTCAGCACTGAAGATATTGTTGTAACCCTAGTCATACAGTATTATACGATAATAACGTCGATTATAAGCACTAATTCCACTACAATTAGCTGTAGTTGATTGAAGTGTTATTAAGCGCACTATTATGACTGTGCCTTTGAACACGATTAATGGCTTTATTTCATTGACTAATTATTAGAGAAGGCTCTGCTTCGTACTACCCTCGGAAGACATGGTGCTCTATGTAAAATGACATTTAAAATATTATATTAATATTAATACGACAAAAGGTTGCTAGAGTTGCCAAGTGTACAAAGCTGTGAATGACATAAAATTCGAGACTGCAAAGGCCGTATGCACCGATTAGTGTTGGGAAGACTAGTACTGATGGACTAATAAAGTAGTGTAAGTTAATAATTCGCGTAGAATTCTACAGTCATTGAAATGAGGGCTTCTGTCGGTGGAAAGTACTCCATTGCATCAATCTAGTACTGCATTGTACTTTTGGTGTTTGATCATTTCCGCTAGCTAGCTAGCTACAGTAGTCCATCTGATTTGTATCATTACCTAGTCATCTTCTCATAAAGAATTTCGACTTCACAGTAGAACTCGATTGATTACAGGCTAAGCAATCATGAAACTTGTCCTGACTTACATGGGTTGTTCTGGTACACCTTTCATAAATACCACAATTTTATCGCTGTGGACTAATTCATCAAAGTATTTTTTGTCATCTTGCATCATTTTCTCCGACATATATCTGATCGAACCCAATAGACATGGTCTAAAACCATTGCTGGTATTCCGATAGCTTGCAATTCGACCAACGCGAGCCAAAGAATTGATTAAAGCCATGACGAAAGGGATAGCTGATTTTTAGTCCTGTAGTTGTTATGGTGATGGAGCTGTTGGAGCAGCTTGTTAAAATTAGGATAGAGAAGCCTTTTGACACAGTAGAGGGAGGAGAGAAGTAATGGCGAATGCCAATTTGCTGACAGTGGGTAAGTTCCGCTAATAGTGACTTGATTTTTGCTGGTTCTATTTACTGTACACCGTGAACAGAGTGTGGGCTTGCAAAAATGATGTCCTGACTACAGTCATGGACTGTAAACGGTGTGCAATACTTGCAGTACAGTACAGTACTGTACAGTACAGCCTACAGTATAGGATTGTACAATGTACAGTACAGGCTACAGTACTGTACACTGTACAGTACTGTACTGTACTCTCAGAGGTCGTGGCGGTCTGGTCTGGTCCGGATCCTTTCTGTACCGTTCCATAGCAAACTGCCTTTCATTACTTTTTGACAGTACTGTACTGTACTGTAGTACAGTAAATAAATAAATAATTTATTTTCTTAATTGATATCCGGCATATGCCCTAATAGCCAGAGATGTGCTGATATGGGTTTTTCAAGGTATTTTGGTGATACTGACTTTGATTATATAATTATAAGGTATCCGTTGCACTGATACTGCTATTGATAAAGATAGGTTTAATATCATGCACTGAATGAAAACTGCTGTACAGACCAGATGGGATTCAAAATAGTGTCGACCGGCTGGCATCCATGTCCTGAATGAAAGAAGTCTACAGTACAGTAACTGTTGAGGAGTTGGAATTGGGAGTGACACTTGACTCCAATGCAATACTTACTGTATAGGGTATAGTATGGATTGACGGAATCGTCATGGTATCATACTGTACTGTACAGTACAGTACAGGGGTATAATACTGTACACGAATGTACTGTACACTGTACAATACACGAATACAATCAATTACAATACTGTATACTGTACCAGTACTATATGATAATTAATGAGCCAGTAATAATAATAATAATAATAATAATAATCAAGAATTAAAGACATACAGTACAGTGTACAGTATTTATGTGGGTCATACAGTACAGTAAACAGTACTGCAAACGTTCGACGCTGCAAACGTTCGACGCTCCAACACGTTCGACGCTCCAACACGTACTCCATTCGACTGAAGTGGCCTAATCTTGCAGCAAAGTCAACCGTCATGTGGGCAAGTTGAGGAAAGCATGTCGGAGAAAGAATCGATTATTGTGCAGGGAGCTGAAAATATCGTTGAAGCAATCAACTGTAATAGAACAGATATTGTTAGAGCATTGCTAAGGCAAGCTAAATCAAGTAAGTAATATCCTCTTGCAGTCATAGCTTGATGAAGGCAAAGTGATGATTAGACGCAGTTATTATGCTTGTCTATTGATTAACCGACTAATTCACTTGTCAGCCCGTTGTCACCATCTGTGACTAGGATGGATAGTAGTTGTACAACTGACGTCAGTGAGTTGGCAGGTCAATGGACTACTGCAAAGAGAAATACTTCTGTGTGCTATGGTGTATTTTCTACCTTTGAAATCAGTCTTATTCTTGCTTCAAAAAGTCTAATTCTACCTTTAGTCTCTTGATTGCAATCAAGACTATCTTCCCAAGGTCTTGAAGCATGCTGTACTGTTGCACTCATTTCAATCGATACAATCAATGAAATCATAGAAGACCCACTGCAACTTAGTAGTAGTCTTCTCTATCCCTAATAGAGGGCGCCTTTTCTGCGCTAGACATTCTACCTTTGAAATCAGCCTACCCTTCAGTGAAATAAACACTAATATCTTCCTCAGGTCGTGAAATCGACTCTACTCTTGCGCTAAGTTGAATATCAAATCAACTTAATTCAATTGATTAATTATGAATAGAATTGTGGAAAAACCAACACTGCAAGGATTACAAGTACTTCTATCTGCTATGGCTACCATTGAAATGAGTCTACCCTTTCGTCAAATAATGATAATATCTTCTTCAGATTCTTGAACCATATTCTACTGTTGCACTAAGTTCAATTTGAATGGAAATAGGAAAGAGCCAGTGTTGCTTTCGCTTACCATGCTGCTCCATGATAGCCTACAAATTCACCTACCAATACAGACGAATGGCTTACTGTACTACCATTGCTATATCATAATTCATTTCTTATTGCCTATTCAACGCTACTACAGTAAGATGGTATGAACTGTAATAGTGGATTGTGGCCTTGAATGAATTCTATGGAAGAATAAGATTGGTGCAATGTAATCAATCCACATGACTAGAAGGAGAAGAGCTAGATGGTTGCATTCAGTGATAACTCTTCTACTTCAAATTTAGACGAAAGTCTGAAATCTGTTGCACCTTGTGCTGTCGTTAAAATGCGCTATACTGTATACAGTGTTATAGTATTAGTCTTGACTTTTGTTTTGTTGATTATTCCTGTCCATTCAACGACTAGACTATTAGACTACCATAGTAGGAGTCAGTAAGGACGTTATGTTTTTTTTCCGTGTTCATTTAACCCATAGTAAGCGAACGTAGCAGCTGGCTGACCTAGTTCTTCCAGTCATCTTCATAGTCTGAAACTCGATTCTATTCTCCAACGTATTCAGTTATCGCCCAAATAGCTTTCCCCTTTACCTTTTGAATAGGACAGTAGTCATTGGCGATTTTCATTGTCCTTTTTGAATACATACATTAAAACACAGTATGGTCATATCCATATGGTGATAGGTAATGGAGTTGGAATCATGGATCAATGTTAATGAAATAATATCGATATTATCTTATTTTCCAAATTGTCAAGTTGAAGAAAAAGAAGGCGATGTTCATATTGTAAAAGAAATACTAAATTATGGCTATAAAAATCAGGAAACCAGCTTGATTCTAGCAACAAAGGTATTCATTCTTATTGTGTACGGGATATGAATAACTACTATGTAACTGGAGTCACTAATGTTAGGCTTATTCTTATTCTATTTGTTTACATTTACTATAAGAATTTTTTTATATATAATAAATACACATAAAGGATTCTGGATTGCAGTGATTTCAGTGGATTATATCTGTACAGCCTACGCTATATTACCGTGTACCATAGTAACTTAGAAAATTGACTGTATATGCGTACGTACAATACTTTAGTTTAGCCAGGATATAGTCCAAGACTTTTTTATTTCACCTTATAAGTAATAATAATACTGTACATTTAATTTTAAATGATACCACAAATGGACTAATGTGCCGTATTAAAGTCCTCAACTGAAAACTTGGACGACAACTTAATCGAACCAATTCAATAGTTGGGCATGTGTATTGATATTTATTTTTTTTATTATGATGACAACAGCTTGACCGCATCGATTGTGTTCGAGCTTTATTGTCTGCCGGGGCTAATCCGTGTATTAGTAACGATGAAGGAAAGACGGCTTATCAACTCTGCAATGGTGATAGTATGAAACAAGTTTACATCACCGAATTTTTCCAAGCTACTGCTCAATCCAAGTACAGAATATTAAAGAATTATATATTATACAAAATTAGAATGACTGTGCATTAATTAATGAATTCAGCAATTAAATTAAATTAAATTACAATCATAGAAGATTGTATAGTACTAGGAAAGGGATACTACATCCTAACCATCAATGATATGGAACGTACAGTAAATTGAAACGACTACTATTTATTTTGTGTTAACCGTTAATTCCATATCCAAAATATTTACATTACAATGGTGTATGAATTAGCCTTTTCATCGATAGATCTTAACGTGCTACGCGATACGCATTGAATGCTCTAATTCCTATACTACCCTGCAGTATTGTGCGCATTCAACAACTGCTAGATTGTGGTATTCCTGTCAATTCAAGCGATGGTGTTGTAACCAATTGTAGACCGATTCATTGGGCAGCTAGCTTTGCCAATAAAGAAACCGTTGCAACTTTGCTTGGTAAGCTACAATTTATTCTGTTCTATATTAATTATTTTACACAGGATATATTGATCTTCTTTATTGTACTGTAAAATGTAGACATATTTGAGAATCCTTTAACGGCGATAATTAATATAATGTTTTCGAATTGATTTGCTAGAAAATGGAGCAGATATCAATGTACAAGATCAAGATGGTTCCACACCATTACATGATGCTATCAAAAGAAATTCTACTGAAATCATTGGTGTCTTACTGAAGTATGGAGCAAGGACAGATATTAAAGCTACATCAGGGTAATTTAAATTGTTAAATACAGTATATACTCATGCTATTGATTGAGTGTTTATTTTTGAGAAACTTTCAATAATACGCGATGCTGTCATCATTAATACACGTATCATCGATATATTTGATACGATGGTGTCAGTTGTTTCATGGAAAACAAGTAAATGGCTTGCCTTTCACACATAATTTAATTATAGTATTTTTTATATTGAATTATTAGTTCTTATGAGGGTAAAACTGCTGCAATCCTATTGGAAGAGAATAATGAACTGCAGAATAAATTACTAGAATCTACAGCTGGTGATAGTCCGACACCAGACGATGAATTAGATCGTAAAACGGAATCATCGGTATGTGTTACGCCAACTGCAGTCGCATCACGTGAGCATTATGCTGGCGAAAAGCTTCAACAAGAAACTACGCTCCGCTTTTCTAATAGCTCAACTAACGATCTTTCCATTTCTGATGTTTGTAACGGTGCCAGCTTATCAATTGCTAACAATATGACTGCTTCTAGTAGCGACGCTAATAGCGATACGATTCACTACCAAGCATCAGCTTCTGCTAAACTTTCTGAACAAATACCTCATACTAATGACGTTGATTCCATCAATGAAAATATTTCTCAGTTTAGTACGGAGATATCCTTAAATGATGTAGGATTGGAT